TGGATAAAACATGGTATTTTAATGCAATAGAGTACTACTCAGCTATAAACAAGGATAAACTGGAGACTTTTATAGGTAAATGCATGCAACTTAAGATCTTACGCATAAGCAAAATAAGTAAGGCACACCTGTAAACATTGTCTCAGTAATTGAGAAGCTGAAATATGTATATGTGCATGAGTATACTGATATGCAGATACATATATATGTATATAAAAAAGATAGTTAAGATAGTTACACTGCTTTCTCCAAGTTCACTGAAGAGAAAGATTTGTGCTGATATTGTTCAAACAATTGAATGCAGATGTCTTGTGCTCTGGGTGAATGATTTGCAGGCAACAATGAGCAATACATGTACCACTGCTGCCCCCCAACTGACATGTTTGAAATTTCAGGGTTTTTTTTTTTTCTTTTTTTCTCTTTGAAATAAAATGGATTTGAAAAAAAAATGAAGTTCTTGGAAATATTTGTATGTGAAGATATCAAAGTGTGTGACATAATACGCATTATGATAATTACATCCTGGTTTTTTATTATACATAACACACAGTCAATTCTTGCTTATGTTATTAGGAAACTATGCCTTTGTAATACAGAATAATAGTTATAAAACACTGATCAACATACAAGGTGTACTGATGTTTTTCTAATTTGAATTTCTTTTACTCTAGTAGTTTGAATAAATTATGCATTTAATAGATTAGAAACCATTCTGATGCAGCTAAAAATATCAAATACAGTAAAAGCAATGTGACTCTACTAGTGGCCGTGATAGTGTATGCCTATAAACCTAGCAGTCAGATGCTGAGGCAGAAGGACTGTTACAGGCTTGAGGCCAGCCTGGATTATACAGTGAGTTCAAAATCAGCCCAAACTATTTAGGGAGGCCCTGTTGAATGAGTGAGAGAGAGAGAGAGAGAGAGAGAGAGGAGAGAGGAGAGAGAGGAGAGAGAGAGGAGAGAGAGAGAGAGAGAGAGAGAGAGAGAGAGAGAGAGGAGAGAGGAGAGAGAGGAGAGAAAGAGAGTGAAACAGAGAAATCTGACACTACTGAATTTTTAAAATATATACTACTTTGTGATGTTTGTTATTTTTCCCTTAATAAGAATCATTTGTTTTGAATTCCTTTAAAATTTTTCTAGTACACTACATATACTGCTTGAATAACTGCCTTAACATGAAATATTATTTAAATGTTATTTCATGAAAATGTACTTTCATTTTATTATACAAACCATTAGTACCATAAATTTAAGAGTTCCCCGACAACAAAGTTGTGGTGGAGAGAAATTCAGGTTTGCGAAGACTGCAGATCGGTAAGTAGCAAGTTAAACAACCTCTCTGAGAAAAACAGCTCAGATGCTAGAATTTACCACATCGGAGAAGACTGGATAAAAGGAGAGGGATTCTCATGACCCAGGAAGAAACTAAGGGAAAAAAAAAGAATGAAAAAGAAAAACATGGACCAAGGCTGGAACCAGACACTCTCTGACCCAAGCCAGTCCAACTCACGGTCGTGGCACTCTCACTGGAGCCGGTCAGAATCACGGTCATGGCACCCTCACTGGAGCTGAGGTTGCCCTCAAGTCGGGTGTTGGTGAGTGCAACAGAGAACAGAGCCAGTGTGGAGACCTGCACTAACCCGCAGTGACTGTTTGGAATTTGGTTCTCCCGTGAGACGGGGGTGACCGAATGGATGACATACTGGAATCAGGCAGGACAGGCCTGAACAAGGAACGGCAGTGACTTCAGTTGGCTGCTTCCTGCCCAGAGCAGATTGGTGGGATCTGGTTGGGCTGGGTCATGCCCCTGGCCAGGACCCAATTGCCAGGAACGAAATTTTCTCCAAAGATGTCCCGAACTGATTACATCTGCACAGCACACACTGAAGGCCCCCACTGGTTGACTGGCTCAGAGGGGAGGGGCCGGCTACACTGCTCCTGCTTGCACCTCAGTGACCAACAGCAAACTGGAAAGGGCAGAGATCCCAAGCCAACATGGTTCAGAAGAACCATAACCAATAGGGAAAGGGGCTGGGAGCTCCACCATATACCTGTATGGAAGAAACCAGAAACATGACAAGACAAAGAAACAACAAAAAGCCTGCAGCCCCCAACCCAGGGAAAATATGTCCAGGAGAGGTAAATACAGAAGATATCAAGAGCAGCAAACATGCAATATCAGACACAGCATCAACTGACATAAAGAAATATCTTTGTGACATTATAGACGAACTCAAAGCTGAAATTCTAATACAAGTAAAGCAAGATATAAGAAGATCAATAAAATAAATGCTAAGCACCTCTCAACAAGACACAGATGGAAGAAAGGAGGAACACAGAAAAAGGAAAGAAACCTTTGATGAAGAATATAAAAAAATAGAATACATGCAACAGATTCAAAGAGATTACTAGGAAATTAAAAACTCCATTGTAAGCTGGCAAAACTGCCTGAAAGAAACTAAAGATAGATTAATAAAACTTGAAGATAGGTTTGCATTGCGTGATCATGAAAAGAAAGATTTCTTAAAAATAACAAGGAACCAGAAAGCAACAATACAAAGGCTAGAAGAAGACAAGAGAATCTATAACTTAATAACAAATGTGAGTGAAGAATCAGGGGTAAACACAAAGGAAATACAAAGACTATTTGCAGAAATAATTAAGGAAAACTCCCCAAGCATAGGAAAAGGAAATGATATTCAGATGTATGAGACATACAGAACTTCAGCCAGCTACAACCAAAACAGATTTATACCCAGACATATAATAATCAAGATCCCAGAAATCCATCACAAGACAGAATATTAAAAGCCATCAAAGAAAAGAAACAGATCACCTATAAAGGAAAACCCATCAAAATCACAACAGACTTTTCAACACAAACCATCAAATCAAGAAGAGCTTGGAGCAAAGTATTCCAAGCCCTAAAAGAAAATAACCTCCAACTCAAGATTGATGTACCCTGTAAAATTAATAGAGAAACAAGATGCTTCCATAACAAAGAGGAACCGTGGGAGTTAGTAACCACCAATCCAACCCTACAAAAAATACTGAAGGACATTCTAGAGAAAGGAAAAAAAAAAAAAAAAAAAAAAAACACCAGGATTTCAGGAATAGTAGCAGAGAGGCATTGGAATGAAGGAGAAAAGTAGAAAACCAATGGCAGAAAAATAGCATAGCAGAAATGAAGCAGAGAAGGTTGACTATAATCTCTAACATAGATGGCTTTGATACACTAACAAAAAGAAACACAGGCAGAGTAGATCAGAAGATAGGGTCCATGGAGATGCTCTGTATAGGAAACATAATTAACCTGAAAGAGGATTTATGGACCAAAACTCAAATATGAGAAAACAATACTCTATGCAACAGAGAACCAGAGAGAAATAGGGGCAGCTCGTCCAGCAGCTGCAGACAGATTGGAAAGACATGACACTTTTGTGCAGTGAAGAATCACTCAGCTATAAGGAAGGAAAACCTTGAGGCTTTAGTAGGTAAATGAATACAACTTAAGATCAAGCCGAGGGGTAAAAAAGCTCAGAACCACTTAGCTAAATAGCGAGTTGCCCCCCTAATCTAAAAACTAAAGGAACTAGTGGGACCTAACATGTACAATACACCCTATGAAAGCGAAAGGGGAGGAACTGTCTACAAAGGAAGGCAGAGGACATTGTTAATAGTGTATCAGGATTTAAAATCCACATTATTCTCATCGCTCTGTTTAGTTTGATTGTATTCTGTCAGTCTGTCTACTTGTATTAGATTTGAGGGCACAGACAGCTATTCCAAAAATAGCAGGATATATTACAGTAACCATCTTTAATTTTCTTTTTTCATTTCGTGTTTTTCTAGGAATTTGTTTTGTCCTGTTTTGTTTCTCCCTCTAACTTAATTTGATACTTACACTGTCTTATTATGACTGATCTTATTTGCATCTGGTTTATTAGATTGCTGTTTTGTCTTGACTGATTTTATTTGAATCTGTTATGATTGATAATATCAAGTCTGAGAGTATAGGCAACTACACTGAAGATGACAAGATTCACTAGGATACCCAATCTGCTTTGACTATTACCTACTTTTGAAGTCTTATAATGCCTCCAACGTTTTGTTTTTATTAATACTGTTATGTACTGACTGATATGTTCAATTTTACTATGCCTGATGATATAGACAGTTCTACTGAAGATAACAAGAAACATCATAGTAACCATTGTAGATCACCTTGTATTGTGGTTTTATATGTCTTTTTTTGTTTTGTATTTTTCAAGGAATTTGTTTTGTTGTTTTGTTTTTCCCTCTAATACAGAAAGGATATATTTACATGTAGAGACATGCATGCGTAGAACTTCTACACAGTTTGAGAAATGATTATAAAGCATGAAGAAATAAACAACTACTTTGAAGAAAAGAGACACTACAGCACCCAGTGCTGATTCTATAGCGTCATGATGTGAAAGCTAGAAATACTATTATTCTTTGTTCAGGGTGATCTTAGTCTGTTTTGTTTTGTTTAATTTCAACATACGTGAAGGTATGGACAGCTATTGTGAAGAGAATGAATGACATTACAACAGCCATTGTTGACTTCCTTATTGTCTGGTCTTGAAGACCTAAAATGCCTTCCTCATCCTGTTCTGATCAGTTTTATACTATGTTGTTTTGTATGAAATCACTGTATGTGAAAATATGAACAACTACTTGGAAGAAAACAAGAGACAATATGATAAACGGTGAAGATCTCTGGCTCCCTTGCTTTGAAAATCTGTGTCTCTTACATTGTTTTCTTATGTTCTGTTTTGTTCTTTTTTGTTATGTTTAATTTTACCCTCTTTAAAATAAAATTTTTAAAAAATTCAGGTTTGCATAATCACATGATCAACATAAATTAGAAAATTTTTGAGCTCATATAAACATTCTTGATACAACTTATCTGTTTCAATCATATTACCTTAATTGCCAACATTTTCTTCCTGTGAAAAACAAATTTCTTACTAATACCTTCTGTGAAAGAGCAGTTTTAACTTCTCCTTGAAGTGCTTCTATTTGCTTTTTCTTCTGTTCAGTCAATTGCTTTAGCTCTTTTATGTTTCCTTGAAGTTGTTGCTGTTCTTTTTCTTTTTGTTTTAAAGTATTTTGGGCCTGTAAAACTTGTTCCTTAATTGAACTGAGTTCCAAAGTCAACTGATGAGAAGCCTAAAAGCAAAGAAATCTGTTTGGCATTCCTTTATTCATTCAATATACATTTACTGAGTACCTGCCAGTGCCAGCCATTACTCACCGTAGAAAGTACTGGGTCTGTCAGTCACAGTGATCCGCAATTTAACAAAAGAGAAATAGTCAGCACTCACGCTACCTTCACAATTGGCACCATTCACTGTTACATGACATGCAAATTAATCTTCATTATTTGTTTAATCCTGCCTTCCCTTTCAGTACTTATTTACTTGTTGTCTTTTTCAGACAGAGGATCACTATGAAATTCAGGCTGGCCTTAAACTCATTTTGTAGCCCAGACTCATTTCGAACTTGCAACAATCCTCCTGCTGCAGCCTCCCAAGTGCTGGGATTACAGAATGTATGCCACCACACCCGGCTTACAATTATGTATTTAGAGAGAGTAGAAAATGAACTAGATCAGTATGGCCTTGTATCACACAAAATAGGAATATCAGCATCAAAGTTCATACTGCTGAACTAACTATTCACTTTCTAGAATATTCCCAAATGCTATTAAGTCTGTTGGTCACAGTTAATCAGAAACAACAGCTAAACTCTAAGTATGATAAAAATAAAATGCCTTTTAGAAATCATTTTAGTGTAAGTCTATGACACTAAATTATACTACGTAACAGTTACCCTTACTGAGATGTATTTTACTACTTTGTTTTTACATTCTACTAGGACATGCTTCCATTCATACAAAAGTCACACTGAGGTTCTTTTGGGGCCAAGGAAAACCATTATTTTCTAACTTTCCAGGCAAAGTCATATATTCACTATTTATGTATATTTTATTAATAATCTAGAATTACATTTTAGCATCTGACCATACTAGACTACTTTTTGAAATCTTTTTGGCACTATATCCAGATGTCTCAGCTTATCACAATGCACAAATATTTCTGGGCAAAACAGAAGAAGTTTAACAATAAGCATGATCATATTACAACCAATGGTAAAACCATACCTAATATATGACCACTTCATTTTGTTACAGGCAGCATGCTGAACACTTTATATTAATCCACTTATTTCTCATGATAACTTTACAGTAGATTCTATTATTAGCCCCATTTTGTTGTCGAAGAAATTGGAGTACCAGGAGACTAAGTCATCTATCAAATATGTCCGAGTGGGATAACTAATAAATAGCATTGAAAGGATACAAATTTGGACAATTTTGGTTCATAGTCTGGGCACTAAGCCACTATAACATGGTCATGAACATGGCTGGCAGCTACAGTCCAAATGTTCTGTTTCAATGAACAATTAAAACACACTGACATCAAACATTTGCCAGGACTATACTTGGTTGATTTATCAAGTTAGATTTTCTAGAAAGTTATATGTCTAGACTGCAATATAACAAGTATATCCTCAAATGGTAAGACTTACATATCATATTCATGCATTTTCTCATTTGCTTGTGTGTTTTAGATGGAGAGCAATGGAAATGTCTATTATAAAATCATTATCAAATATATCACTTATATAAATGTCCATCAAATAAATAGCCCTTAAAAGGTCATTTCTATGGAAAGCTTATTTAAATATTTTTCAATTATAATCAGGTTCTTTAACCTAGATCTTCTAATTATAATGCTGTGACTCAATTTTCTGTTATTAAATATATTTTCTTATTTGTAGCTTTTATTTAAAATGGGCTTAAATTATTTTAGTGGTAAGATACAGATAAATATATATATTTATATGTATTATACATACATATGTTATATACAGATTTTTTTCATTCCATTCCAGTTTGGGGAAATAAATCTCTCTTACCTATCAGGATAAAATGTTTTAAAATGTAAAGATCTATTATAGTTTACATATTTATATTACAGAAAAGATAAAACGTTACCTCCTTCTCTTTTTCAAGTGACTTCTTCAGTTCATTCTTTTCTCTTTGTGTGCTTTCTGTTTGCACCTGAATTTGATGCTTTAATTCTTTGCAAGTTTTTTCCTAAAAAAAGGAGAGAAACCATAGTATAGAGAAACTATTTGTAATAACTTAAAAGTTTGTTTATAAACTTAGCGAGATAAACACAAATAAGTTACATAAATAAATTAAAATCACTGATGAGTCAAAATGGGTCAGGATCACCCACTTGGGGTATAATGGCAAATACCTATAATCCCAGTACCCAGGAGCCTGAGGCAGGAGGATCGCCACAAGCTGGAGATCAACCTGGGCTACCTGGTGAGTGCAAGGCCAGCCTGAAATACACAGTAAGTACAAGACCAGCCTTAAGTACACCGTAGGACACTCTAAAAAAACCAAGAACGAACAAATGAATGAATGAATGAATGAATGAATGGATGGAAAAGAAAAGCAAGGCAAGGCACATACAGGACTACGCTATATTTGCTAAGGCTTTCTTTAATCAACTAATAGTCACAATAAAATACAGCTGGATACAGTGCTTGCCCAACATGTGAGAGGCTCTGGGTTCCTTATCCAATAATCAAAAAAGTGTTTTAGAAACGCTTTGGAATACTCTGGAAATCGTATTCTTAGGCCACATAATTATTCACCATTAATAAACTTGTCAAAAAATAGAACTATGAGCTACAAGAAAATGAAAAAAAAAAAACAAGAATGGTGACACACACCTGTAATCCCAGCACTCAGGAGGCTAAGGCAAAAGGGTCACCACAAGTTTGAGGCCAGCCTTAGCTACATAGTGAGTTCACGGCCAGCCTAAAATAAACTGAATAGTGAGATCCGGTCAAAAAAAAAAAAAAAGAGGAGGAGGAGGGCTAGGCATGCATGCCTGTAATCTCAGCACTTGAGAGGCTGAGGCAAGAGGGTCACCATGAGATGGAGACCTCCCTGGGCCACAAGGGGTTCAAGACCAACTTGAACTACATAGAGAGGGCCTGTCTCAAAACAAAAGAAGATCTGAAAAAAAAAATGTTAAAGCAAAATTTCTAAAAGATTTTCATACAGGATGCAAACAGTAAATTCATCCCAAAAAACTCAATTTATTTTAAAGGAAACAATCACTTCTACCTAAGAAAGTAAACAAAGAGGGTGGGAAGGGACCAGAAAGGGAAGCAAAAAGCACTAAAATGTGCTATGCATATGATCAGTTTCCCACTGAGAATGTAATCACTATGGACCACACTAAACTTTACTAGTTTTTAGAAAAATGTAAATATAAACAACTAACCAAATCTAATATAGCAGCTTTTCCTCTCTGATTCTCCTTTTCAAATTCACTTTTGGAGTTTTTCAAAGAATCAGATACTTTTGATAATCTGTCTTTTGCTGTAGCAAGTTCTGTCATTAGTGTTTCTTTTTCCATTTTTACTTCCTTTAGTTCCGTTTGTGCTGTCTGAAGTTTGTTATTCAATTCCTCTTGCTGCATCTTCGCATCTTGACTGAACTTTTCAAGTTCTTGTTTCAGGATAGCATTTTCCTCCTCTTGCTTGGTAAACATTTGCTTAATACTTTCAAGGTTTTCAGATTTTTTCAGTAGATCCAATTTTGTGCTGGATACTCTAAGTATTTAAGAAATAATTTTTAAATGCATAATTTCCTACTCAAAGATGATCTGAAATAATTATGGGTTTTGAAACATTTGTTTTGTTCAGAATAATTTAATTCCATAAAATCACAGCAGAAAAATGTCTTAGAACATCTGATTAAATCACTTAACAGGTATAAAAGGTTTTTTCAAATCAAGTAAGTTAATAATAAAACCAAAACCAACTAAGCCTCCTAACATAATACATTCTTTTCCATGATAACAGATCTCAAAACTATATTGCAGGCTGAATGGCTACAACAGCCATAAAAGGTTTTACATAAATCCAAAATAACTCATTTATTATGTAAGTTTCCAAGTACAAAAAGAACTCTGCTTCTCCCTTGAAAACATAAAACATGTTAGGTATTTGATAAGTCTTAAACATTAAAACATTTAAAGTTAATATAAGAAAAAGTAAGAAAATAAAAAATGCTATATTTCAAAAATAGAGGAAAGGCAAATGATTTGTTTTTGTTCTAAAATATAGCAGATTATATGTGAATTTTTTATCATTTGTCCCTTGATATTGGTTGCATACATCAGAATGAGTAAGCTACAAGAATGAGAAAGATACAACTTTTAAAAAGTTAAAATATTTTTTGTAAAAAATTAAATTATGCATACAGTAAAGATACACATTAAATTATGCATATAGTAAAGATACACATTAAAAATTAACCATTTTAATGTCTAAACCAGATATAAGTGATAATATTTCTAGAATGCACATGATTTACAATCAGTATAAATGTATAACATATAAACTCAACAAAGTTAGAACATTGGGTAAAGACATATGAGTCCACGAAGTTGAGTATTAGAAAATCCTGAGTATCAGATTTTATTTATATCTTGAGATCTTCCAAGTTTTAGAACCACATACATGTTTATGGGACTGTGTTAAAATTTTTTTTAAAACACTGAAACTCAACAGGTTCATGGCACAGTATATCACCCTAATTTTGAAAATCTAAAGAGAAGGTATATTATCATTTTGTCATTTAAATATGGCTAAAAAAATTAAGGGGCTGGGAGTGTTGCTCAATGGTAGAGCACTAGATTCCAGCACAAAACAAAAACAAAATTAAAAAGTTCTAAAACAGCTTGAAAATTTGGACTATATTCATCTCACCAAATTACTTAAATTACCCAAATGATTAAAAAATCTTAAAATTATATGACTCAAAAAAGGTGAAAGAGAAATACACGTTTACAATGTCACTATGAAACATTTATCAAAAATAAGAAGTAACTAAACTTAGAAATAAAGCAACAAACAGAGCCAGAAATTTTAATGTCTTTCACAGAAACTGATACAGCAATCAGAAGAAAAAAGGATCCAAAAGAATACCTGACCAGCCACTATTTAGGACATAGATGTGGCACATGGAAAACAAATCATACACTGGACCTTACAAATGATCTAATTTCAAAAGTATGAATTTTACCAACCATGTTTTCTGACCACAGTAGAATTGAATAAGAAAGCAGTAACATCTAGAAGAGCCTCAAACACTTGAAAAGTAAACAATATACTTTAACATAGTACTTTGATACATGAGTGTGTCAAATAAGAAACCATAAAGAAAATTAGATCATCTTAGCACTTAAGAGGCTGAGGCAAGAAGATTGCTACAAGTTCCAGGCCAGCCTGGGCTATACAGTAAGTCTTAGACAGCCTGAACTGCATAGCCAGACCTTGGGGGTGGGGGGGAGTAGAGAGCATGTATACTAACATTCAGAGTAACAAAATACATCACAAGATGGGTACTGAAGGAAGGGGTTGAGTGCATGAAAATACATGCAAAGACACAAGTGGTCTCTGAGAAAGGGGATTCAGTACCCTGTTAATTGGGCCAAACCCTAAGTTCAGAGGTGAGTTTTAATGAAACTCCAAATATGTTTACATGAAATAAGAGAAGAGATGCAGCCTTCCTTCCTATGCAGTGATCTAGAAATCTAAGAAGACCTCAGGGGAGATACGTTCTCACGAAGAATACAGAAAAAAGATTTTAACGATTTCCTGGCGGAAGAACGTGAGAGTGTTGAATGATTTCTAAACTGCAATTAAAACACAGAATGGAAACAGGCCCGTTGGAAATGGAAAGAACTTGGGTCCACAGGGCCCTTGCGGAGGAAAGCAAAGGGGGATCTCCATGAACTGATGGTTTTGAGTAGGTGATGTAAAGGAACAGATGTGCTCCAAATACCTAGGCATTGGAAACTGCAGTGAGAAGGAATCCCACTTAATGCAAAATACACCTCTATAGCCTCCAATTCAAATTACCAGAACTTAGTTACCAAATATGAGGACAAAACCAATGTTTATCACAACATCTCAGAGTTCATCAGAAGGTACGAAACAGTTTCATCATCATCAGCTCTGAAAGATTTATATCATCTCGCTGAGAGAGGCTTTTCTGAGGCTCTGTTTCCACCGTTACTACTGAAAAGATCAAAAACCATAAGCTGCACCAGGCAAGTCCATCAACTAAGTCAGGGTGGGCTACTTGGAGTACAAAGATAACTCATTCCATGAACACGTTCAAATGGATGGGGTGAAACTGTTCTGGTTCTGGTTCTGATGAATGAAGAGGTCACTGAGTATCTCACAACAGGAATAAAATCAGCCTCAACCTCGGGAAGGACACGCTGAGCTGCAAACTAATTCTTCCTGGGCCCTGAAGTAATGTCACTGCTCAGCATTCTATCACTCAGGATGGACACAGAGCCACACAAACCCACCTCAGAGGGCTGAGGTTTTTCGCAGCAATTAATGTTCCGAACATACTGGAAGCTAATCCCCCTTACTCACAGGGCTCCCCTGGGCCCTGAGTACTCTGGCGCCAATTAGAAAACAGGTATCATTCTTCCAAGATAATTTACTGCTACCTAAAGAAACCCGACATCTAACATTGATGGATGTAAAAGGAGTGAGGAACTGAGGGAAAAACAATAAAAACAGACACGATACAAGGTAGCCACAGGGAAACCTTCACATTAAAAGGCTGTTTTAAAAAAACTAAACCCAAAGTCAACCAAAGGAAAATATATAGGTATATAGAAAAATGAATGAAATAGAAAACTGAACAAAAGTCAACTAATTCTAAAGCTTTTTATAAGTCTTATAAAATTGATAAATCTCTAGATTCATTAAGAAACATGACAAATCACCACTATTAATAAAACAATGGATGCTATTATAGATCCTACAGACATCTGAAGTATAATATTATGCCAATAAATTGGAAGTTTGGATGAAACAGACAAATACATTGCAAGAATACAAATTACCAAGCTGACTCAAGAAAAACTGAAAAATTAAAATACTGTATCCATGCTTAATTTATTTAAAATTAATTCTAGGTAAAGCAACTGAAAGAGAATTTCAGATCCAGCTTGTTTACTGATAAATTTTACTAATCATTTAAGAAGTAAATAATATTCATCACATACAAACTCTCAAAAATAGAAGAGGAGGAAATAATTCCTTTGTATGGCCAGTAATTCTAATAAAACATAACAATGATATTAAAAGAACATTACAAATAAATAGTCTTAATGAATGCTTGAAAAATTCTTAATAAAGTAGAGCTGTCCTTTAATACCCACAGAGAACTGGTTTTGAGACTCTCACAAATATCAAAATCTGCAAATGCTCATCTAAAATGATAAATTTTTTAAAACCTGTGCATATTTTTCTGCACCCTTCAAATAATCTCTAGATTACTTATGCTACCTTATATAATATAAATGTTGTATTTATGCTCTATTATTTAGATAATAATGACAAAGAAAAGGTCAAAATATGTTCAGTATAACCAGCTTTTTTTTTCTGAATATACTGGATCCTCAGTGTGTTGATTCCACAGATGTATAACCCACAGACTGGAGGGGCCACTGTATTACTAAATCAAAAGAGCAACATACAAATAGAATACAACATGGTCAACTGGAATTCATCACATAAAGCAAAGTTGGTTTACTATGAGAACTATCAGTCAATTCACCAAACTAACAGATCAAAGAAAAAATGCATGATCGTATCACCAGATACAGAAAAAAAGAAGCTGATAAAATTCAAGCAAAAAAATTTTTAAAAATTTTTAAAAAATTAGGTGTAGATGGGAACATCACCAGTCTAATACGGTAAATCTAAGGAAAATTTCTATAGCTAACCCCAGACTTCATGAAACACTTATTATTTCCTGGCTAAAACTGTCAACAGTGCAATAATAAAATTTACATTCAAAACTTTACTGGAGGTCCTAGCCAACAATAACAAAGACATAAAAGGCCTAAATAGATCATGCCTCAAATAAATAAATAAATATAAAAATAAAGAAAGCAAAGTGGATACTTCTTCTTCTTGAACATTAATTACCTGACCCAAATTTTATAAAACTAAGTTTTCAGTCTTTACAGTGAAATTAACCCTAGCCACATTAAGATGACTTATTTTTCATTCACATTAATTTCAGAAATTTGTAATGTCAATAAAAGAAGCACTTAACTCATTATGGACAGTAACAAGATTGAAATCTTAAGGAAATTTTAATGCTAGTTCATAATCCCCTTCTTTAATGTTTAAGTGAGAGTTTAGCTTACATTTCTTTCTCGATTTCAAGTTGTTTACTCAATTCTGTGGTCTTAAGCTCTAAATCTGTGCTTAGCTGTCTTTGCTGTTGAAGGTCCTGCAAAGCTTGTTCTTTGCTTGTTTTAACTTCAAGAATTTTGGTTTCTAGTTTCTATGGAAGAAATATAATATAGCAGCCATTTTAATGTTATTGATTATCAACTTACTATTAAATATTAAACACAGATAACTTTTACTTATATTCAAATTGGCATTGATGTAACACAAAAATAATTATAAAAATGTATGTTGTAATAAAAAACTCAATCTAAAACCATCACTGAAAAGATATTATTTATTTTAGAATCTTTCAAAAGGACCTAGCATAGAGTCTGGCATGGTGGTACTTGCCTATTAATCCCAGCACTCGGGAGGCTGAGGCAGGAGGACTCTGGCAAGTTCGAGACCACGTGGGCTATGAAGTCAACTCAAGGCCAGCCTGAACTACAAAGTGAGATCTTGTCTCAAAAAGACCAAAAAAAAAAAAAAAAAAAAAAAAAAAAAAAAAAAAAAAAAAAAGGACCTAGCGTAGAATTTATATGTAATAAACAGGCTTTGCACAGTATAGTCAGTCACCATTTCAATATTAATCCTGAACAGGAGAATAAACTTAAATATTCATTACTAGAGGAAAAATCATTCACCCAAGTTTGAAAAAAAATATGTAACCAGTCACTCATGCATCCACTGAAAATATCTTTATATTCACAATTAACAACACTAAGGTAGTTATAAGATACTTAAAATGGAACTGTCCAGTAATCCTTCTCATTATCCGCTGACTCTAAAAAAGCCAATTAAATTCTTGATTTTGTTTCATAATCTTAACTTAGGTATTACTGTTGCTTTTCAGTGTAGTATACATCTCATACATATCCATGTAGTTATGTATTATTATAAATTTACAAGATCAAACTGCTAAATATGTTTGAAAATCTAAAAGCAGTACATCTTCTTGCACAGTCATAATGACTTTGCACACTTAACTGTTTTATGAATCACCTGGTACATATGGCTTCTATAAAACCAATTTTAAAAATTCTCATGAAAGATTTTTGATGTAATAAATTAATTCTACAATTTTTATATGAAATATATAGAAGACTTTTAAACTAGTAATTATAAAAAGTGAAAGAGCTAGCAGTCATAATAGACACTCAATTCTAAGTAACAATTATTTTTAAGTAAGTCCCCCATCTCAATTGTCATTTCTTTATTAAAGTAGTATTCCACTGTTATCAACCATACGTAATTTGTCTTACTATTATTGTTGGCCCTAACCATAAATCACAAATCAAATTATAAAAGATTCTTTGCTCATGTTATATTGGTATGGATATGTATGTGTACATATTCATGATTCTATGATCCATATACCCAGGCTTCATCTAATTGTGGAACTGACAGTGGCATTAATTAAAAGAAAAAATACTTAGGTCAGATCCTTCTCTGATACTGTCTAGTTTAGATTTAAAATGCTCCCCAAAATTCTCATGTGAGTCGAAGGTGATTGGACCGTGGTGACGTTTGACTCATCAGTAAATTCATCCACTGATGAGCTCATATCTGAACATGCTGTTAGGAGGCAGAGCCTGGTTGGAGGTTGCCACTGTGTCACCAGAAGGATGGGGTCTTGTTCCTGGCGCCTTGCTTCTCTCTCTGCTTCTAGGTTGCAATTAGTTAAGCATCTTTACCTCTGCCAAGCCTCTCTGCCAACATTTCTGCCTTGAAGCCAGCTGACCACGGACTAAAACCATGAGGTAAAAAAGCCTCTCCACTTTTAAGTTGTGAATGATGGGTATTTTGTCTCAGCTAAGAGAAGGTAACTAAACAGGTAGATGCAATCCAGTGGCGGTGAACCTGTAACACACACGCCTCAGAGGGCTGTATCACTGAAAGCTCTAAAAGGTTCGTATCACTGGTCTAATCATTGTATCTCTGTAGTAAAATACCACCACTTGAAATTATAATAAAGTAAGATTCAGTTTACCACTAAAATGTGTTAAATCAGAAGCAAAATCCAAAGAGTATAAATGTATAGTTTTTTAAAGATTATAATATCTCAAATATTATACTAGAAAGAGGGGCATGGAAAAAGGAAAGAACACAAGAAAATTTACAACAGTTAAAAAAATAGTGAATCTCTTATAATTGCCTGATTGGCTGTTCCTGAAAATATTGTGAAATCTGTATGTTTTATAGCTATCATTTCACAAAAGACACCCATTGATGAAGAAGTTAAAAATAAAGATAAATTTCAAAATTCAGATAAAAAGACAAGTAAATTCTTTCAAGTTCTATAAAGCAACTTGATCTTTGTTAGTTAAAAATCTGATTTCAAGCAGATCATTACAAATCCAAATGCTAAGAGTAGAAAATGTCTAAATTCAACTTTTATACAAACCTTAATTTGACCTTCTAACCCTTCAGTTTTTTGTTCTAAAGAAAGGTGTTTCTCTTTATACTCTTTAAGGTGACTTTCCAATTGATTGCAATGTTCCTGCTTCTCTTGTAACTTTGCAGTGACCTGATCCAACTGCATAATGACTTTATTTAACTCCTACAGAAAAAGCACAATTGAAGAAAACTTTATAAAATTTACTATGCTGTAGTTCTCAAATGTTCAGTCAAAGTAAAACTGAAAAATCTGTAATTTCACTTAGCTATGTGGAGTAAGACTGAGTAAGTTCGATGATATGTCAGAGGACCAGAACTGGAGTTTTATACATGTGGTGTAAGATACCAATTTTATGAGTACAACACTTAAATAGCTTTTATTGTTCATCTGCAGTGCTGTGTATCAAACCCAGGGCCAAATGCATGTGAGGCAAGCACTCCACTTAGTGACACCCACAGACCAATTAAACAACTTTTTAGTATTTTTCAAAAGTTATTCTAGGAGTCAAAACACTGACTACTAAATTGCTTAATAATAAAATAACTTTCACACCGTAACTAAATGTTTTAAATGTTCAAAACACTGTTTAAAAACAGTATTTTCAAGACACTGCAGTAATCATACCGTAATATCTGTTCAATTCATTTGGAATATACGATAGCACATAATAAACAAAAATTACTTGCAAACCCATCACCCATGAATAATCATGGTAACATAGTGATAACTTTTCTTAAGGTACTTTCTATATGCTAGTTTCTATTTTTTTTAACTTCTAAAATAAAAATAGTATCTCACTTTATATACTACTTTAACCTTTGTTTTTGTGTATAAAATTTTCAGATTTTTCTAAAATATAACATTTCCATTTTATTAAGGTAGCACATTTTTTAAATAAATGTGCTTTAGATTCTTAGACTAGTATTACATTTTTTCATTAACAGAGATGCAAAGAGAATCTGTACAACTACGATAAGATTAAAAATGAGCTAAAGAAATGAAATAACGCTGAAGTTCTTAAACTATGTTACTAGCCACCTCCCTACTTGCTCCCACCCAAAAGACCCTACTGTCTGAATTTGTAATCAATTCCTAAGGAACGTAGACATTTCCTAATACAGTTTTGAACATGCATAAAAGTTAAATATACCTTATATGAAGTGCTTAGGATTAGAAATATTTCCAATTTCAGATTTTCTCAAATTTTGGAGATCTGCACACACAGGTTGAACACCTGTAATTGCAAACCCAACCTTCTAAAAGCTCTGAGATCTATCTGAATCAGTGGTGGGGAACCTGTGGCAGGAACCTGTGCTGCAGCAGACACAGCATCCTCTCTGTCAGCAGGTGAGCCAAGTCATTCCAGGGCAGAGCATCAGATAATAGTTATTTTTTCTAAACTAAAACCTCAGTATTCAGGTTTAATTGCAGTGTTGGTACTGTGCAATAAATAAGTGGGTTTTGGGTCGCAGTTTGGGCAGTTGGTCTCTAAAAGATTCGCCATCCCTGACCTAGAGAATGCTCAAAAAGTTTTAGAGTCTGGTGCATTTCAGACTTCATAATTATAGATTAATAAGGGACTGTATATTTTTTGCCAGTTCACTTATTTGTTACTTAAAACTGATTTAAATAACAAAAATATTAACACTTTATTAGACATATCCTAGAAAATACTGTACCTTTTTGCTATTTGTTTTACAATTTTATTAATATTTTAACAAATTTTAAACTTTCAGATATTTCTTAATAATAATCTATTATATTTACCGACTCTGATCTCATGCTTAGAAAATACTTTCCAAGTATATTTAGCAATCTTGTACTTTAAAAGCAAATTGTAGAACTACACATATTGTGTGATTCCATGTGCATAAAGAAAATACCACTGTACATGTACATAAACATACATATACTTCTCAACGCTTATAAAAGTTTGGTAGGATAGATACCAAATTTAGTAACAAAAATTCCATTTAAGGAGAAAATTGAGATAAGAATAAAATTTAAATCTTTTTTTAAAAAACTTTTGTTTTGCCTTTTCATTTGAAATGCATCTATTTTAATTTTTTAAAATGGACCAATAGTAAGCATTATTTCTTGATTAAGAAGTAAATTCTAAAAAGTCCTCTACCTGACAAAAAGACTATCTATACACACTTTGATCTTCATCCTGAACTTGAACCTTCTGTTGTATCTTAAGCACTGAGAAAAGTAACTTCCATATACTCCTTCAGTCTCCCACTTTCTCCTACCCCAAAGAAAGGGAGCAATGCTGAGGACTGCATGGAATGCACATTGCTCTTTCTCTGTTTCAAGTGATAAGAAGATCTGGGTCCCGCCCATTTTACCTACTAAAAACAAGAATGCAGATCTCAGTCTTCCCCCAGTACCGTTGCTTGATAGGATAAGGCAATAATTAGGAGTAACTGTTTCACCTCCATATCAAAACCTCATCCAAGGAAGAAATACAATACAATATCAGGAAGCCAGATCTAACCACATCTAAAAAATAGTCGAGAGTTATCAAAAACATAGTTGATATTTTTTCCTCCATCTGTCTAATTCCCACATCTACTGGTCAATTTGTTCAGAACTCAGGGAACAAATTAAGGAGATAAGCAAATGTATCATAAGATTATACAAATTTAGATATCAGTTTTACATTTTTACAATTATTTATATATGAAAGCACGAGGTTATGATATGAAATTGCATCAACTTCTCTACCTGCTGTTTATCTTGTAAAGCATTTTGAGCTGTGTCCAAATGATTCTGAAGATCTGCTCTTTGAGCAGTTTTTGCTGCTTCTGCTGATAACAGTAATTCGGTTTTGGCTTTAATCTGTAACAAAAATTTATAAATTGTTACTTTCTATGTTTAACTGTTGACTTACCCATGCTTAAGTGTGCACTGCTTTTGTCACAAAACTATTTAAAAAATAAATCTGTTGGCTAAAATAAGAAGGAATTAGTATGTTTTATGTACATGTATCTATACAAGGAATATAAATGTTATGTACTGCAAACATGTACTAATAAAAAATACCTCAAGAATGTGTGAAAGAAAAGACCCCAATAATGTTTAGATAAGCAATGTGAAGATGTTTCTATATGACATTGACATTATAGTATCCCTTTGGTCAAGAAAGAAATGCAGTATTTTTTTAACTCTCAACGGCCACTGTATTTTTCAGAAGGGAATATGTGGAGTCTACCAACATTACAATAAGCAATAACTATGCCAAAGAAAGTACTGGCTCAAAAACAATAAAAAATTCTAGATTCTAAGAACTCAAACACTCAGACAAACCAGAACCAGAACTGTTTGAAATGTACTATTCCCTGATAACTTCTGACCTAAGAGATTTTACTTCTGATGCTCATAAAGTCAAAAAATTATTCATTTAAAAATTCAAGGCTTTCAACAATAAGACTTAAATCTAATGAAGAGTTCTACTTTATTACCAAAAGTACTATAATATTTTTCTAAATAACTTATTTTTTCTGATAGGTTTTCACTATGTAGCCCAGACTGGTCTTGAACTATCCATCCTCCTGTCTCAGTCTCCCAAATCCTGGGATTACAGGCATGTGTCACTATGCCTAAATATTTAAATAACTGTTAAAACTCATTTCTAGTAAGTAAAGCAGAAAGAAAAAATATTTAAAATTAAAGCATTTTGAGAAAGGGGTAAAAAAGGGGAAGACAGTCTTTTAGCTAGCTGAAGAAGGGATCAATGGAAATTTAAAATATATACCACATGGGGTAATTTTAAGCAAAAGAAAAAAACAGTATTTCTCAACTACTTATCTCTCACAGAAACAATGGTTGTATCAAGATACATATATCTACACTGAATTAAAACTGAAACCTAAAGAAACCTACATAAAAGAATAGGAAATAAATCTACACTAACCAACAAATATATATTAGAGATTATGAAGAAGTTATTTTTATGAATTCAGCTTCATTTACATATGGCATTTTATCCGAGGAACTAAAAATTGGTATTTTACTATAGATAGTTGCTTATAATCTTTTAGTATAGTGTACTTCATGACATGTTTCCCAAAGTGATATAGTACAGAAACATTTGGAGGGATTACATAATAGCTCTCTGGTTTGCACTATTTTAAAAATTCTTTTGAGGAAGAAAATATGCAGCCACTCATAGCCCATCTTCCACAATCCTTAACAGGCAGTAAAGTTTAGCCTAAGTGCCAATCATTGCAATTGTTGTATTTTATGTACTAAACCCCTTAAAACTACCTAAGAGCACTAGGAGCATTCTCATGATACACAGAAGTATAATTTACCTTGGTGATGTCCTCACCATAGTGACTAGGAAGTATCTTGGAAGCAGGGATCAAAAGTATGTTATAGAAATCAAAACTGGCAAACAGCTTAAAAGTCATTTTATATAATTAAAAGACCATGTAGTGAGAACTGCCTTTGTTTAATATATTTTTTAAAAAGCCAACTTCAATATTCTTTAGCTAAGCACTTCTGGTTGATACTTTTATTAATAATACCATTTAAATAAGTAGGTTTTTAAATCAGAATCCCAATTCTTGAAAGATAAAAAAACCGTACTTTATGAAGCAATACTAATTCATACAGAAATACAGCAGTAATCAGGCATGGTGACACATGTCTGCAATCTCAGCACTCAGGAAGCTGAAGCAATAGGATGTTGAGCTTGAGTCCTGGGCTACACAATAAGACTGTATCACAAAAGGTGCAGGTTTATAAATGAATGTATCACAAGGCAGGCATGGCAGTGCCAGTAAGCCTGAAATCCAGCATTTGGGAGGTTGAGGCAGAGGGCTCAAAAGTTCAAGGCCAGCTGCCAAGCTGAGTACAAAGCAAGAACCTTGTCTCAAAGAAAAAAAAAAAAAAGAGCAATTTTATGAAAGAAGAATTTCAAAAGCTGAAAATATCTTAAAGGACTATGAAACAACAAAGAGTTTTCAAATACTATTACAATACAATAGACTTTTCAAAGACAATTACAAAAGAAGAGATGGTTGTAAATGTATAAAAGAAGCAATGGTAGTAAGAAACATTGCTTAATCTAACTAAACTAGTTCTCAAATTGCAGTGGCACAGAAATCTCTCTAAAAGGATCTTGCAATGCAAAAAGAATCAAAGGTTATTTTAACCCACTCATTCATATCCCCTCCTCCCACTCCTTACCTCAGTCCTTCCCTTTCCTCTCTTAAGCTGGACATGCACATTATCAGGTTTTCACATAAACTATCTGACAAATATTTGTATTTAAAAAGAAAAAAATGAGGGCTGGGCATTTAGCTCAGCGGCATAAGCACCTGCCTTGCAAGCACAAGGTCATGAGTTTGATCCCCAGTCCCAAAAAAAAAAAAAAAAAAAGGAAAAGAAAAAGAAAAAGAAAAAAATGTAGTCTCTCCAAGTTATACTATTAGTTATTTGATTACAATTCTTATTTCCAGTGAGATAATTCTCCTAAAAGCTTATAAATGTTTCTATAAATTTTTATAATACAGAACTTAAAAACTCAATGATGAAAATGAAAAAAGAAATGTCTTTTTTCCCATACCACAACTGATTCATTGAGCAAGACTGCTCCACAGATTTGTGAAAGAATATAATTAAAATACATAATGGTAACACATATCTGTTTTTAATCAAATCTGTGAAGATTTTAGAAATAAAAATTATAAAACTATTTAATGTAGAAATCTAACGGTATAATACAGTATCCAACTAATTTGCACTTCCAAAGCAATAACTAGGACTTAATCAAGACAAAGAAAAGTTGTGCTGGGGATTTAGCTCAGCAGCATAAGTGCCTGCCTTGCAAGCGCGCAGTCGTGAGTTTGATCCCCAGTATCGATTAAAAAATAAATAAATAAATAAATAAGACAAAGAAAAGTTAAATAATCCACTGATTTTAGATGTAGTTTATTTAGAGACAGAGAGAGAAGAGAAAGGGAGAGAAAGAGAAAAAATGCCTGTGAAAAGGACATAGTTCAATAAATTATCTAGACATTTTATCTGACTGTAGTACTAGTTTTTTCTATTAATAAGTAAGGCAAAAAGAAAGAATTCAAAACATTCAATACTCTAAAATCAGTGTTTTACTTATACAAATACATTAAACAGCATTTTAATATATTACCTGAATGTCGAGCTGGGAGACCTTCTCTTTGCTTTCATTCAACTGACTATTTAATTCACTGACGCTGGTTTCAAGGGAAAGGACACGGTCCTGTGCAGCTCTGAGATGCGCCTTCTGCTCTTGGACCTGGTCATGTAAATTCTCTTGGGCTTGTTTATGACTTTCTGACTGATTCTTCAGCTTCTCTGTTAACTGAGTTACCTATTATAGAAGTATGACTTTATGTTCACAAATGGTATAACAAAATTAAGAAACCCAAACTTAAGCCCATTAGAATAGAAAACTGTTTTATGATGGTGATTTCAATTTTTTTCCAAGTACAAATTGTTCCAATCTTCCCAAGAGTAAACACAGCATCTCAAATCACAAGATATAACATCTAATTTAAAGACTCTCATTTTAACATGATCAGTATTCAACTATAATTTACATTCTATAAAACTCATCAAATTTAAGTATACAGTGAGATCTGATAAGGGTGCACACTCATCACCACAATCAAAACAGAGAATATTTTCATCACTTCAGAATATTCCCGCACACCCCTTAGCAGTCAGTCCACCTCCCATCTTTCCCCCACGTAATCACTGATTTGACTGAAGAACCACAGCTACTTATATATCCTGGATACTTCTAAATGACCAAATAGATATCATTACAATATTTTCTCCTGGTCTGTGTCTCTGCTTTTGTCTTCATAATAGTGTCTTCTTTGTGTGTGGTGGTTTTGTTTAGTTGATGATAGTGGGGATTGAAATCAGGGCCTTGCTCACGCCAGTCAAGAGTTCCTCTACTACCACTGTGCTACGTCCCCAGGCTCTCTAAATTTAGCAACGAAGTCTCAGTAAGTTGCCCAGGCAGGGCTCAAACTTGCAATCCTCCTGCTTCAATCTAGCTGGAATTACAGTGTGCATCACCACCCCAGCTCATCTTGGTAACTTTTGAAGAGCGTGTATTCTTTTAACTCCGGTGAGATCTAATCAGATCTTCCTTTGATATACCTCACTAGTATTTTCAACTTTTTAACTCTTTAATTCTATGGATTTATACTTCTAAGCAAATATAAAACATTTTAGCCACCATTTCTATAAACGTTCCTCCCCTTCTTCCTATGACATTATGATAGCCTACACGATATTGTTCCATGGGTCACTAGAACACTCTTCTTTCCTAACCACCTCCCACAAAACTTCTCTCTCTGCTTCACATTAGACAGTTTTACCCACTTTCTCTTCATATTCATTGACGTTTTTCCCACTTAAATAAACTTTTTTAGTTCAGGTGTTTTAAGACTTTTATTTCTAGAAGTTCCATTTGTTTTTTTTTAATCACTGCTACTTCCATCTCTGTTGTTACACTGTATCTTTTACCCTCTCACAGGTATATATCAAGGGATTTGTTAAAGTATTTGATGATTCCATCATCTTTCATTTTAGGGTCTGTTTTCATTGGATGATTTTTATCTTGATTATGATGCACATTTTTCTACTTCTTCAGAAAAGTAGTAGTCTTTTGTTATTTACCATGACCAGCCTGAAATTCACTGTCTTCTTCCAAAGAATGCTGAGTTCTACACCAGTAGGTAGTTAATGTACTGTATTGTGGCTCACCTGGGTCCTTTCAATGCTTGTTTTCCTATTCCGATAAGCCAGATGTGTGACAGCTTTAACACGGGGGCTAGGTTAGTCTTAGTGACTTCTAAGGTGTGACAAGTCTAGAATTTCTACTGAATTCCCCAAGTGTTCAAATACGCTTTTCTCTAGTTGGCTGGCAGGTGAGTATCTCATAGGCATATGTGAGCTCTGGTAATTCTTCAGCCTGCAGCTCATTACTGTTCATTGCCTGCAGAATCTCATCTTAAAAGTGCAAAGCGTTTTAACAAAGCCTCCCATGGAACCCCATGAAGATGCACAGCACTTTTTCTCTCCAGTGACTCTTTTGTCAAGTGTCCGGCCCTAAAAACTTGAATTACCTTAATCTTAATCTTCAGTATCTCAGTTTAATTAATCTCTCACTCCTCAGTTCAATGAGATTACTGCTCTTTTGAATTCCCCCAACCTATACCACAGTCCGAAAGAATGTCTCTAGGTCAAAAATTTGAGCAGTCCAAAGTTTCACCTCCCTGGTTTCTCTTCTCTTCAGAATCATATTCTGCCTTGCCTGTTGTCCAATGGCTGACAACAGTAATTTTATGTATTTTTTCAAACTTTTCCAGGTTTTTACAGCAGGAGGGCTAAATAAGCACCAGTTACTCCACCATAATCAAAACCAAGAAGTATACGGATTTATTTTAATTTATTCTACTTAAAACATGAGTCACATTTGTATCATACATAATGTCAAGTTGTAGCTGACCAAAAGGCTACCTAAGACATTCCAAAAGAATTCCAAAACTAAATTGGACGTGTAGGGGAAAATACATTATTAACTCCCAAAAATGTGATCTAACCTACTGATACTTTGTTCTAAATTTGTGCTTAGATAACAATGATTATCTTACTTTTCCAAAAAGCAACTGCAAACTATTATTTTTAGTTTCAAAATACATTAATCTAAATTTTGTTTCTCTTAAACTACATCACTTGATTAGTACCTTTGCTTATTAATATATATAGCTTTTCACTTCTTTTTTATAACATAACAAAACACCATCAGGCAAGTACATCTCTATTTTTCCAATGAGCCAGGCAAGGTGAGCTGATTTACACATAGCCCATAGGTAATAAGTTACTTCCTGGGATATGAACTGAGAGTTTTATCTGTCAAACCATGTTAACTAAGCTTCACTATAGGATGGACCGAACCTCTAAGGTATATGAGACAGTATCTGTCAAAAATATATAGCATTCAAAACAGAAGAAAAAGAGTCAGGATGATGAATGCTTTAAATAAAGCATTTAATAAGATTCAGAAAGATAAAAGTAAATTTTAGAAACATAATACACTTGACAAGCTTACTTGCTCCTGTAGTGTATGATTTTTTTCTTGCAGTTGGTTAAGAACTGCAGTCTCTCCTTCACCAGCTTGGATTTTGGCGTAGAGATCCTCTCTTTCCTTTTCTAATAATGAAATGTTTTCTTTACTCTTCTGTAATAAGGCTTCAAGGTTCTGTATCTTTTGGTCCTTATCACCAATTTGACGTAGGACTTGTTCCAAATCATTCTGTAAAGAATTGAAAACTCCTATTTTAAGGACAGAGAACTTTAAGAAGTTATTCTTCAAACACAAAATGAGTGATAATGAATTTCATCATTCAACCTTTTAGTCATATTTTTAAAACTAATTGTTACATTTTAACATGCCAAATTTAATTGGAAATACATATTTGATGATATAAATCTGTATTAGTGATAAGAATTTAACAACAATGAAAACTTGTAATTGATAGCTTTCTTCTCCTAAAACTCTGTCCTCACCTCCTACTGCTCTTCTACTCATCTCAGACACACGGGCCTCCCTCTCTCTCCATCACAGCAGGCACGCTCGCTAAGAACCTTCTGCCTAGACACCTGCCTCCTGCCCCGTGCTTCACTCCTGCCTCCTCAGTCTGCCCGAATGTCACCTTCTCAGGCCTTTCAAAACCACAGCCTTCCCCAATATTTCACCTCCTGGTTGTTTTTTTCTTTCATTTATCTCACACACTAAATAATGTACTATTTCTTCACATTCATCCACCTTCCTCCGCTTCCTGTTAGAATGTGTGCTGTACAAAGGTAAGAACTTTCATCTCTTGTATTCACTGATGTCAGATAACTGACACACATTCTAAAATATTCACTGAATAAAAAATGATTCATGTGTATACTTTTGTGTGAAAAATGATTAACACTGTAACACATATACTTTTGCAGATTCATTTTAATCCTTTACAAGGACTCCTTTATCAATAAATTAAGACCCCTTCTTTTACTTTACCAAAGACCTTAAGGTTACTTAGAGCACAATGCAATAGCTCGTATTCAGAACAAGACCCACTTTCACCAGCTATCAGATTTCATATACTTTGCTTCTCCCTCAGTCTTTTAAAGAAAATGTCTGCCCAGAACAAGGCCCTGGATAGCCCATACCACCTTGCTGAGACAACCAGCAGCTGCCTTGTACCCTCAATGATTTGTGCCAGTATTGAAATAATCACAGTCACTCTCAAAAATGCTTCTTATCCCTCTAAGCATCAGTCACGACATGATGAAAAGCAACCAAGCTCCCTCTCGGCTTCTTTTCTTGCCACCAATAGCCCTCTCTCTGCACTTAACTATTCTTCTGGAATTACAATTCTAGGCAGACAATTTTCCCCCCCTGGAGGAGTTACTCAGTTTCCAAGCCTTAATTAAAGTTTGGTTTTCCCTTTACAGAATCTAATTTCACTCTCTCTATTCAGGAAGCCTTATTCCACTGGGCAAACAGGAGACGGGCCTTTTCCTGGATTTCCCTGCCACCACTCTCGCCCTCAGGTAATGTTGGGAATGCTGTTCTTACTTATCCTGCCTTCTGTCTTCACTAATATCATCTACATGTCCCTACCTCACTCACTGAACACTTGAGGCCTGCTTTAGTTCTCAGTCCTAATTTCTACCAATTTCCTGGGAAATACAAAATACACAGAGAATTAGGAGCACAGCCTCAAAATATGTATCATCTTATTTCCCGGACTTTACTCCATTCCATATTTCAGTAACTCACATGTAAGATCTCACAATAACCTGAAATAGTTTCAGCTAAAAATTTTTCAATTATCTTACGCTGTGACCAAATTTCCTGAGTAGCCTCTAATTTTATGATCTCATCTTGGTATCAGAGACCTCAATTTCCTTCAGCTTATTCACTATACTCGACTTTTCTTCTTTAACCACATACATGGATATGATCTAACTTTAAATATTTTTCCAATCACATTTCCCATTTCCTTTCACCTCAGAATTTCCACGACAACCACCCCTGAAAGCACAATTCTAGATCAATGTTTCCTTCTGTCGTTTCTATTCCTATAGCTGTAGGTACTGTTAGAATAAAAGCAAAAGCTTCATAACTTCGTGCCATTATGTATTTCTGATTCCAGTCTCCATTCCATACACAGTCATTTTTCTCCACTCACTCACTCAAATGATAGCCTCACCTTCAGACATTATCCTTAACATCTACTTCAAAGCTTCAATATGCTCTCCAAGTTCTCGATCTTTGCTTGCCTGATATTTAGCTATTACTATCTCCAACTTGATCCTGAAGCATAAAACTTTCAGAAACGATTCATTCTGATTTTCCATTCTCTTACCTATAGAATCATATCTATGTGTCTCCATATTTATGTCTTTTGCTCTAGTCTGAGCGAAGTTTAGGCAGAGTATAACCCACCACATGAGTGACAGCATAGCTTCTTGTTACCAATTTACATCAGTCACTTCTCATCCAGTATGAGACTAACCGCCTCTTTACCAGCCTCTTTGTCTTAGGCTACAAACACATTTAGACCTCTTTTTCTAAAAACTACTCCTGTCAGTTTCTGCCTAGTGTTTATACACTCACGTTTAAATTTCAAAAGTAATTTACACTTATATTCCTAACTCTCTCATTTCTCATTTTCTCATCAGTAAAAAATCAGATTTTCATATACATCTCTCTCCCTCACACACATTCTCATATGTCTTGCTTTATGTTGAACAGAGTTACTAATTTCTTTTAATCTAATGAATAGGTTGCATCACCCTCACCACCCACATGAAATTAACCCCTTATGTACTTTAAGTCTAGCAAAACCTAACAGTTGAATTCACACTAGCTTCACTATCCTTGTCCTTGCAACTTGCACCTGGTATACACTTCTGTCACCCATCTTTGCACTCCCAACTCTCTAGTCAGGGGCTCAATCTATCACTTCCGAGAGATTTCCACTTTTCCAGACTACCCAGGTTAAGTACCACCTGTGTCACCATGATAATTTCATGTGCATATACCCATTGAAACTATTCTCACTGTAAATCTCTTTTAATTAGTTAAAGAGGGTTGGGAATATAGCTCAATGCAAAGGCCTCCAACACCACACACATAAAATTAAACATAATTAAGTGAGGAATAAGAAAGTAAGCATGTTCAAATGAGTCCCTTGCTCTCCCCTTAGCTGGAGAGACAACCTGTACGGGAAGGTGAAACCATACCATTTCCATCTTTGTCTGCAGATCAATCGATTTTAACTTGGGAGTCCAGGGTAAGAAAGCCTATCTGCTTGGTGACCTACACCAAGTCCTCATGCTTGTTTCACTACCCCACTTCTTTCCTACCATTTACAGTAAAGTCCCACTTGCCTACATTTTGTCAAACACCTTCTCATTCTCTTTGAACCCTCTCCAGACAGGCTGTCATCCCACTTCTCTATTCAAATTGCTCCTACTAGTGTCATCAAGACCTCTACGCTGCCAAGTCCAACAGGACTCTCTCTGTTCATCTTGCCGGGCCTCCATACTTCTGATTGTCATGGCCCGAATCATTGGAGTCACTCTTGATCTATCTCTACATCCATCTATCCACACACCAGCCAGCTTTCCCTTTAAAATAGACTAGAATCTGTCCACTTCTCAGTACCTGCACTGTTTTCACTTCAGTCCACAATAGTCTTTATCTGGATTAAAGCAGTAATCTGTTCATGTGTCTGCTGCAACTCAGGTACCAATATGGTCTAGTCCCAACAGAGCAGCTTGGAGGAATGCTGCGCAACTGCAAGTCAGATCATACAACTGCTTTGCTCAGAGCCTTGTGTGGCCTCTCATCTTACTCAAAAAAGGAAGTACAGTAAATCCCTAAGCTTACCTATGAAGTTCTACACGTTCTGACCCTCTGTGATCTTTCTGACTGTGTCCTTTTTAATTCTTATCATTTGCACTGAGGTAAGCACCAACTTCCTGTTATTTCTCTCCCTTGCTCCACCCTCAGGACCCTTAATGTCCTATTTATGCCTCGATTTATCCTCTCCCTTCCTTCAAGGCTTTCGTCTTCCCAGAAAGGCCTCCCCTGGCCATTCTACCTACCACCGCTGTTCAAGCTGCAGCCCCTCCCTCCCTTCCCACCCCCATCTCTACAGTGCACGTCCCCATACAGCACATCTGTATTTTACCTGTTTACCTTGGTGATCGTTTTCCTCCCTCATTATGCTCCAAGATAGCAGACCCCCACAGTCTGTTCTGTTTGCTGCTATAGTTACAAAATCATTTCTTTGGATTAAACGTAAATACTTTCTGACTGAATAGAACACATACATAAACCCAGTATTTTTATTTCTATAGGTCTGATTATCATGCTACACTGCATGCCACACTTCAAACTCAAAAAAAGAACAATCCCTAATTGCTGGATTCCTAGCCATTTTCCGCAGACCCAGAGTTATCTTCTTATACACGTGGGGGCTGCCATTCCCGAAGGACAGGCACCCTGCCGCCTCCTCTCAGTGCTGAGCAGTGTCTGGTACTCAGTGAGCTGACCAAAGAACACAGGGATACATGAATATCAAAGTCAAGTTCACTTGAAACATCTGCATAGCCTGCCCTCACCAAAACAAAAAACTTCTTTAACTCTTCTAAAATATACTGTAGAGCCTGTATAAATTTAACTGAATCAATTATATTTTCACACCTAATACTTCAATGTTCAGATGATAGTTAAAAAAAAAAGACATGGCCAAAAAATACTAAATTTTACTGTAGGATATAAAAAATGTACTTTTTAAAACTAGGCTAACTAAACCAGGAAATTTTATTTAAATACTTTTAAAGTAAGGTATTTGATAAGTAACAAGTAATTACTTATCAACAATTCAAATAAAATTTTAACTAGATATTTTAATAAATATATTAACATAAATTTTTTAAGGACATTTAATAGTTAAATATTTTATATAAGTTGGGAAGGTTGTTGGTTGGGTTTGGTTGGGTTTAGTTTTGAGACAGGGTCTTGCTAGACAGTTTAGGCTATTTTAGAACTCAATATGTAGCGCAGGCTGACCTAAACCTGTGGTAATCCTCCTGCTTCAGCCTCCCGAGTGCTGGGATTACACGTGTGTGTCACCATGCCTAGCTTACAAATTTTGCTTAAAATTAACAAATTTTCATAACAAGTGATATATAACTTGTCACCATATTAAAAGAATTTTCTTCTTATCTGACACTGAAAACTATCAAAATTCTTTATAGTCTGTTACTTTATTACCTATTTCGTTTTACCACATTAGAATAATCCTTTGATTTTATTTTTGTTAACAAGGTTAATTATTCAAGCATTTACCTGAGCTTCTCGTAGTTTTGCTGTAGTGCTTTGTTGAAGAGCTTGTTGTTCTTGATGCTGTTGTTTTGTTTTATCTAACTGATGTTGCAACTCTGTGGAATTTGTTACTTTTTCCTTCAACTTAAAAAGAAAAAGTAGCACCTCATTACTTGTAGAATGTTAACCTCATAATGAATAAACTATCCTCTAACAAATACAATCCTGAAAAGAATGCAAATCTTTTTCCTGGTTGGCATTTAGATCATTATTATTTTTTATATTAATATGACCGAACAATTAACTACATACAATTTATTTGTAATGATCATCTACAATTAGTTCTAAAAGAAAATCTATTGCTGAAGCTTCAGACTTGAACCCTGAATATTTGTTCAATTCAAATAAAAGACATAATTTAATAAGTTTTATTTTAAGTGTATAATATAAACCACTTCAAGCATCAACAATTTTATTAGGACAGCATTCTATCAACCACGTGCTTAACTTTTAAAGATGAAAATCTTTAGCTCCAAATTCTAAGTTACAGTACAGCTCCTCATCACTCATAATCCTCACCAACTAGCCCCTGCTCACTGCTCCTCAGTAAGCTGCCCTTCCGAGCTAAGAAGACTCTAGCAGCCTTTCAGATGCAACTCTGGCATTTTTCCTGACACTAACAAAAATACTCCCCTTTTTGCATTTTTCTTGAGAACTTTACTTAATACAATCACAATGAAATGCAGTAACTTAATGTAGTTTGTAAGTAGGATGTTTTAAGGAAGAGAAATAAATACAATTTAAAGTGCAAAAAGTCTAATTAATGTTCTTGACATTAAGGTTATGAATCATAACCATATTTAAAATGTCTGGAGCCTGTTAATAAATCTGCTAAAATCAGTCCATCTAAATGCCACCTTACCTGTTCCTCCAAACGAGAAAGTTTGAGTTGTAAGTCAGCTACTTGTTGTTCTTTATCCATCAGCTTTTCACTTGAAAGCTGTCTCTGCTCCTTCAGTCGACCATGAGCTTCTCCTAGCTGGCGTTCAGTCTCCAAAAGTTTGCTATGTAACTGAAAAAATAAAGTATGCACATTTATGTACACGTGTGTAAACACACTACTACTACCTACTGTGCCAAAAAATACTTTATTTTTCAGCACTATAAGTGCGCTATCTAAAGGGGGTGGATGGAGTGAGAAAAAAAGAGAAATCAAGATGTATCATGTGCAAGTACAAATTCCCTCTGATGCATGTGGTCATTATGTATAACTAAATTTTAACAATAAACTTTTAAAAATGTGTATACTATCTTAATGTTCATGATACTTTGGGTAAATCTAGGATCTTACATAATTTAAACAGCAGTTGAATTTTAAGTTACAATCATATGCTTGATTCAGCAGCCTATATAATAACATAATTAATCACATAAAATTATAACTAAGCATGATAGATTTTATTTTTGTTTCATTGATTTTAAAAAAGCAAAGGGGACCAGGATCTTGTTTGTGAATAGTGTTGGACGCATCTGAGGAACTTAGCAGAACTTAAAACTTAAGATATTCAAGATACATTCAGACCTATTTCACAGTATTTTTTAAAGAGTTAAAAAGAAAAAGTTTTCAGTTTTTCATAGGTAAAAAAGCACTATAATTTACTTCTTACATTTGGTTATTATACAGATTTCAAATATTCAAATGGCATGTAACTTCTAAATAAAAGAGAAAACAGCATAATTTTCAAAAATACATGTTAGCCAATACTTATTAACTAACTTCAGAGATACTCAGGGGCCGGGAACAGCGCAGTGGCAGAACACCTGCCTGTCACACACAAGGCCCTGGGACAATTCCCAGCACCATCCCTCCAACAAATGCCCTCCAGGTAAAAGTAAAGGAGAAACACATCATGCAGCTAAGAGCCATCATTTTCTCACAGTACTTTCTCTGATATCACCAGAAATAACAGCTTTTTTTTCCCCTACAAGTCTTTATTAAAAAAAAATCACTCTGTACTCATCTCAGAATGCCTGCACCAATGCTAGGAGTGAAGGATAAAAGACTGGCAAGGAGCTGAGGACCCAGGACATTTGGTCTTGTAACATGAAAGCAGGAAACTGCGTCAGTAAAATTATGTTACACATCATTAACAAATATTTCATACAACTGCTTGCAGTCAGTGATTCAAGTTAAATCTGAACACATTAAAAGTCTTTGTGCTGTATTTTTCTGTACTCTGTACATTTTATAAATATAAGTATATACTTATATGTTTGTACACAAATTTTTCAATAAAAACTGACAATTGGCAAGAAAGGACAAAGTTCTGTAAGAAAACTGAACACTCATTATTTCCTTGCACAGTAAAACAATCTGTGACTATCGGAATATGCACCATTCCTAATAACTAAAACATCCTTGCCACTTATCATCCTTCTGAAGCAATTCTGAAAGCCTTCTTTCATGTCTTTACCAAGCGTGATCAAAACCACTAAGAATGCTCCGCCAAGGGCCATCCAGTGCATTATGGCTTGTATCTAGATGTCCCCCCCAAAAAGCTTCATCCACTCCCCCATGGGGGTAGCTGGTTCTAGGGTGTACAATACTGGGATGGAAGGTGCATGGTACAGGGTTAGCCCACTAACTGGTTTAGACAGTTCTGGGGGTGGCTAATGGGACAGCCCATCTCAAGTACAGGTGGCACCACCCGACAGGCACGTAGCCCAGATGCGATCAAAGGCAGAGGGAGTTCTGACCACGCTGCTGCTCGCTTCTCCTCCTGTTCTGTCATGGACTGATTTTCCTGTCTTGCCTCTTGGCCATGCTGCCCTGCCATGGAAACCACCATCCATGGACTGAAATCTCTATAAACTGTGAGCTGAAATAAACCTTTCCTCTTTTATCTTGTGGATATTGGGTATTTTAAACCAGCAATGAGAAAGTAATTAAGACACAATGGAAGGCAGAAATGTAAAACATTACAGTGTGTCCTCATCCACCTTATTCACCAGAAATATAGTAGAGAATAAATTAAATGACAGGAAAGAACTGAGGAGGAAGCCCAACAAGACCACTAGGGCAGGACGTGCCATATAAAGAAACATTACAGACAGCAAAACAGGATCATAAACCTATCATAGTAAGATTTCTTTTAAGCTGTTACTCTGCAGCTACATGAAGATAACTCTGATGGGGTGATTAAAGGAAGAGAGATCAGTCAGTGTGTCAGACTGACCTAAAGGTGTAACTGAAAGGATGGAGCAATGAAAACAGAGTAGGAAGCCAGCTGTGGTGGTGCACACCTGTAATCCTAGCACTTGGGAGGCTGAGGCAGAAGGATTGCTGCTACATAGCAAGTTCTAGGCCCCTGGACTACACAGCAAAACCTTATCTCAAGGAAAAAAAAAAAAGAAAGAAAGAAAAGAAAAGAAAAAGAAAACAGAGAAGGAAAAGACAAATTTCAGCAAATACTAATATTCCCAACTATTCTGATCCAGTGCCTCACAGAACTCATAATCTAAACCAGAAATGGTAGGGAAACTCTAATCCCAGCACACTAGGAGGCTGAGGCAGGAGGATTTCAAATTCAAGTCCAGCCTGGGCAATTTAGTGACTCAGTGGGACCCGGATACAAAACTAAACAAATAAACAAAATAAAAAGTCTTGAGGATATAGATCAGAGTGAAATCCCAAGACTCAATCACCAGCACCAGGGTAAAAAACAAAAGAACTCATAGCCTAACTTCAAAAATTAATGTCAATACATTTGAAGTATTTAATTCCTGAAACATGATTAAAGGTTAATAAAGTACTCTCATAATTAGTATTATCATTAATAAAGTAAAAAGTCATAAATCTAATTACAATAAAACATCATTGTCACTTAAATTACTAAACAATGGCTGAGAACTTTAACCTCCACCAAATTTCCGTTTGATTAAATTTTAGTGTTATCTAAAACCAATAATTAAAGTAGACATTTAAAAATTAAGCTAATAGAAAAATGAAATCCCATCAAGTTTCATCTGAAAGATACTATTCACCTATTAAAAACAGTTTTTCTAGAATTAATTTTTTCTACTTTTAAAATGCTTGATTTTCATACTGTTGACTATATAGTAATTGTATTTGAAAAAGATGATAACAAAAAGAAAAAAACTAAAATTTTTAAAATGAGAATGGCAACAAGTGACTTATAATAACTAAAACCTAGTAAATGCCTACAATTGCCAAGTATCATTCTAAGCAGGGTGTGTGTGGTCCACTGCTCTAAAAAGTTCTTTTTGGTTCTTGAAGACAGGGTCTCAAGATCATGCTACACAAGCCTCTGGAGTGCCACCACACCTATTTCTAAGCAATTTATATGATTTAACTCATAAATTATTCACAACAATACTCTTAAGACTAATACTATTATTTTTCTTAAGGAACATTAAAGTTAAAGGACACAAGATCTGGTAACACTACTGATGTAAAAAATTAGAGTTAATTTAAGCCTTTATAACTTTTAAAAACATAAACCATATCACGATCAAACCACCATCAGCACTGCACACAGGACACAGAGGCAGGACACAGTGAGTGCGAGGCAGGCCTCTTACCTGATTAACCTCACTCTGGAGCTGTAGCCCATGCTGCTCCTTCTCTTCTCTTTGTTGCTGCAGCTGCTTAAACTCTGCCTTCAGATGCTGGTATCTGGTCTCCACTTCGGACAACTCTTCTTTCAGCTTCTGGGCAGCCTCTCCTTTTTCACTGAGCTCTGCCTGTGCCCGCTGCAGAGAAGTCTCCGACGCAGACAGTCTGGACTGCAGCTGCTGGCAGTCGAGGTCTTTCTGATGAAGGCTGGCTTGAACATTCTTTCTGCTCACAGACTCTTCATTATGCTTTTCCTCTAACTGGGTATAATCTACTTCTTTCTTCAGTAATTTTTCCGTCAAGTTCTGAAAAGTCCATTTAACAATTTATTTCTTTTTCTAATACATTTAAGTACTCCATTTATTCAATCTTTGGAGCACAAGTTTCCTATTAAATGTTTTAGTCAATATTATAAAATAAAACAGTAAAGAATTACTACATACTAACATGATTTTACTACTGATCTATATGATTAAACTTAGTAATGTAGTGCAACATGAAAATTGCTAAATAAGAAAATGCTACACAAAATGAAAATATTAAAATCTACTAATTCTGTGGAGTATGCAATACATTTATATACTTTCATTTGAGTTTTAAAAATTACAAGTATCTTTCTTCCAACAGGAATTATTTTGAATACTAATCTACTATGTCAATTCTGATGCTGCTTTGCAATTGCACGGTTGGTAAGAGCTTCAGCATAACATTAACCACTGCCCTGGTAAGCCTGATCCTACTGATTACATTTTTTTCTTCTCTTTTTGGTAAGACCACTGTATAGTCACAAGCTAAGATTAATTTGAATTTCTTTCTAGGTATACAAAAAGATACCACATATCCACCATCTTACATTTGATTAGTTTACTCAATACTATCAAATGTAAATTACAACAATAACACCTTCAATCAAAGATCTGAATCAACTAGCCTAAAGCAAAGTGATGCTGTTACTACTAACATCGAACACTGTAAGTCAACATACTTACATGTAAAATAAGGAACAAAATTTTAACTTATTGTCTATCAGCAAATTAGCCAGGATAAGAAACTACTGAAGTATGTAATGCATCAATCAGTAAATATTTATCATTTGTAGTCTGCAGGAAGGGGGTAATACAGGAACACAGACAAAGCTTCTGTTCCTTAAACTATAAAATAAATGAGATGCACACACCAAGGAAAAACATCTACGAAAAAAAAGATCACACAAGCAAAAATGGACTAGCCAGGTGTGGTGGCACAATGCCTATAATCCCAGCACTTGGAAGATGAGCAGGAGGAACACTGTGAGTTCAAGGCCAGCCTGGGCTGCAAAGTGAGCTGAAAACTAGTTTGAGTAGCATAGAGAAACCCTGTCTCAAAAATACTAAAAATGGATTAGAAAGTGCTGCAAAGTCAGGCGTGGTGACTCCTACCTGCAATGTCAGCACTGAGAAGGCTGAGGCAGGAGGACTGTTCAAAGTTTGAGCCATCCTGACCTATATAGTGAGTTCAAGGCCACCCTAAACTAGCAAAGTCTTGTCTCAAAAAAAAAAAAAAAGGTGGAGGAACACAGTAGTTCCGTGGTTAGCACCTGATTCACATTTAAGAGGCTCTGGGTTCAATTTTCAGCCTCCTCAAAAAAATTAATAGAAAAAAAATTTTTTTGTACTGGGAATCAAACTTAGAACCTTGCACTTGCCAGACAGGCACTTGCACCACTGAGCCATATTCCCAGCCCTTAGAAAAATTTTAAGTATACAACTTTAAAAAAAATAAGCAAAATCAAGTGGGCTGACTAGTGAGATCCTTGAAACTAACAGTTTGAGCTTGGTTTTAAAAGTGATAAAAGGAATTAAGGAATAAATACATACGATGCATGCCATCTGCTCTACATTATATGTGTATGATATATGGGGGAGAGAGAGACAGACAGACAGACAGACAGACACAAGAGGAGGAAACAAGTTGCAGCTGAGGAAGCAGCATATCCTGTCACCTCATGAGGAATAGTCAGTCTCAACACTCATTTGGGAAAGGTAGCAGTAAAGGTTCTTGAACATTTGTCTGAGAAGTGAGTAAATTATCAAGTAATAATACATTACAGAAAAGCAATGCCCAGACCAACAATTTAAGTATGTGTGAGAGGAAAAGGATGAGAGACAATCTTAAAGGTAAGAAGAGCAGCCAGACATGGTGGTGCACGCCTGGATCCCAGGAGTCAGAGGCTGAAGAAAGAGGGCTATCCCAAGCTCGAGGCCGGTCTGCTACACAGTAAGTTCAAGGCATAGCAAAACCCTAATAAATACATAAATGAGTAAATAAATAAATAAATAAATGTAGTAAGAGCAAAGAAAATCTTGCAGCAAAATTAACCAACAGATGTATGCTCTGATCAAGCAGCAAACAAAAAAAGAGGCAGAGCCAAAAAACTAGAAAAAAAAGTATCCTTCAGTTTCAACTATGAAAAACCTTTTTATAAACATTTGTGGTACTAATTAGTAACATTAAGTATTCCTTAACATAATTTTACATTTGTTTTGTTTAGGAAAACAGCAGTTAGTTTAGCATTCATAAGCTATATTAAGTCTATTCATTCACCTGTAAATGATTTTAGAGAAAATTCTAAGTCAATGTATTTCATTATACAAGCCACAAAATACACTAAGAATTTGAGAAGCATGCAATTTTTAAATATGGCATGAAAATTAAGACTATCGATGTGTTAATGAGCATAATTTCCTAAACAGGCTAACTTATAAAGCTACCAAGTAATCCCATACTTCCTAAACACCCTTCAGAAAGCTTCACTCTAAGAAGCAAAAATACATGGCATGTAACTAGGACTGTTTAAAATTTACTGGACTAAAAAATTACTCAAAATTATGTTTTATTACATATATAATTAAAATTTTCCAAACTCTTAAACCACTGTACTTTTAAAAAATGTAATCAACTTACATTATATAATTTTATAAGAAAAGGAAAACGACATTAGTATTACAAACGTTTCATTCTTAGTATGGTCTTCCATGAAATCTGAAGCAAAATATAGACAACACATGGTTTTGATGTTTTTAAAGTATAATAGAATCCATCATAAAAAATATTATTTTTAGTTATCCATACTAATGCTTACAAAAAAACTGAGATACATGCTATCATCCTCATTTACAGATGAGGAAGCTGCAGTTGACATGGGTAGGGAACACAGTCATAGGCTATGACTCCAAACACAATAAATTTTTAACAACACAATTTAGTCAAATTAGGTCACTGCCCCTAAAATATTGTCCCTATTCAAATTTAAATTATAAAATAAATGTTATAGCTATCTCACAACCTAATTATCATTTGGATAAGGAAAATCCCTTCCAAACATGCACTCACCAATTTGCTTTCTCAACACATTTTCTTACAGTGACAATGTGCCTATGTGCTTCGCTTACTATTAATTTATTACCTGTCTAGGTATGAGAATGAATGAAAAAGAACGAGAATTTTACAGACAGCTCTCTGACTCCTTAGATATGATTTAGGGAATAATGCTAGAGGGAAAACAGCCTGCACATCTTCAGTGTAGATGAGTTCTTTCTTCTGATCTGCAGTTGCTGCCAGTGTGGATGTGGGAGCTGCAGGGGTGCCAGGCCAACCACATTACATCAGTGCTGACACACAGCTGTGTAGTAACTACTTACCACGGCAGCTCCTGGGGTGACCACTGAATATCTCAGAACTGAGACTACTGGGAACAAATGAGTGACAAGTGGCACTCAAAAATACCTCCATCTCTTACAATGACCTGCTTTACGTCAGTAGCCTGAAACAGTCTGTACAATTGTGTGTGGAATTTATATGAAAAAAGTTCATTAAACTGAGATTTAAGATTTTAAGTCATGTTTGTTAGGAAGTTTCCAACAATTTTCTTATTTTAAAATTTCAAAGTCTTCTACTCTGAACAGGAACTTTTAAGATTATGATACACTGAATGTTAACTATTGTTTAAGAAATTTTATGTTTTATAAAATTTTTAAAATCTGCCTTAAAGCTAAACACCCTAAGATTAGCACGACAGTAATTCTCTTTCCCACCTACACCACCACATTCCTGTCTACCTTGATCATGCTTATACCCAGAAAGCTGCCCAAGGCACTTTACACAGTCGTCTTCAAAAGACTGTGTACAGGAACTTCCACAGGCCAAAGCACTGGAGATTACAACTGTCACCAGGCAGGGCTATTAAAGATGTGGGTGAAGAGAAGAGGGCGTCCACAGCAAGGATAGTAAGAACAGGCAGATACAACCCTGCTTTCTCAGAGTGGTGATCAACTCCCAGTTGATCTATGGGAGAAAAACTATGAAGTGTTTTAATTGTGTAAGACACTACTAACGTTAGTATAAGGTGCATTATTCCTCAATCTTAAAAAAGTTTTCATTTTATCAATTATATCTTTTTTATTGATTTATTAATAATATCTAAACCAGTATTAAAAATAGGTATCAGATATAAATCACATACACTAAGATTTAGACAGTAGACATGAATGGAAAGTGGGATAATCTGCTTTAAGTTTTTCACACCTTATTGCATTTCAGGTTGCATTTCTGAAAGCATTTCATGGTCACCCATAACACACTGATAAAACCAGAACTCAGGGCTAAATGCTAAAGTATTTTATAGTTTTTATATATCTTCAGTTTTTAATGTTTTATTTAAAGAAAAAAAAACAGAAACGGGAGAAATAATACATAATTTCAAGAAAATAAACAGTAAGAAATCACTAGTTGATAAATTACAAATTGTCCTCTTAGAAATAGTTGTTCAAGTTACAAAAGTAAAGTATATAAAGTGGACATTCAAACAGTGAGACTGCAAACACTTCTGTTCAACTATCCAACAAAAACTTAGTAATATGATTATCAATCCTACACATTTAAACATACATGCAGTTATATCCTATAGAGCACTTTCTTTTCCTCTCTTTTGTACAATGACAATTACACATTTTATATTTTATTTCTCCTACATTTATTACTTTTTACATTAGAGACATAATGTGACATTTATAAATATGATTATTTATTTCACTAATGAGGATAGCCTCAAGTTGTCTCCATTTGCCAACGAAGGCCTCGAGATCATCCTTCTATATAGCTGAGTAATATTCCACTGTATAAACATATCACATCTTTTTTATCCACTCTGTGGTTGATGGGCATCTTGGTTGTTTCCAAGATTTAGCTATTACAAATTGTGCTGCTATGAACTTGGGTACACATATATCACTGTGATATGATCTTTTCAGTTTTTCTGGGAAAATACCCAGGAGGGGAATAGCTAGATTGAATGGAACTTCCAATCCTAGTCTTCTGAGCATTCTCCATACTGATTTCCATAGTGGTTGCACAGTCTACACTCCCACCAACAGTGGAGCACTGTTCCTTTTGCCCCACAGCCTAGCCAACATTTGTTATCAGTTGATTCCTTGATGGCAGCTATTCTTTCCGGAGTAAGATGAATCTCAATGCTATCATAATTTGTATTTCTCAAATATCCATATCACACTACGTCTTATTCATCTTATTTTTTATCCAAGAAATAGTCATATTACTTCCTTTAAAGTGTGCATACACATAACTGTGTTTGAGTATATATAATTGATCCCCCATATTTTTAGGATCCCCAACTCTCGTAGTTAACGATTTTAAGGAAAATAAATTCATACAGGTCACATAATTTAAAGTATTATTTATAATGGTCTCCCAACGAGTCAAATACAAAGAAAGTGCAGTAAATCTGCCCCCACAATAAAGACCTAGAGAATTCAACCAAGGGCCTAGATCCCATGGCAATGTCCTACATAAGTTCAGCTGAAGACCTAGAGTCCACAACAGTTACTCATGCAAGTCTATTTCATGGATCTCCACTGGAAAGGCCTAAAGGTCAGCAGTGGAGGCTAGAACATCTGTGTCAGCAGGATAAAGGATCTGTGCCAGTAAGTTAAGGGTTTTGCACTAGAGTCAGGAAGCAATGCTCAAAGAACCAGGGCTCCCCAGAAAAGTATCAGAGCCATCCTCAGCAACAATGAGGTCCCAAGCTTCTCCAATGATGAGAACAACTAAGTTCCTACCAAGAAGCCAGTGTGACCAGCTTCTCCTAAAGACTGAATAGCACACATCTTCCCCTCCAGAGCAGAAAGCAATGCTCAAACTAAGGACCAGCGCTCCCCCAAAGTGAACTGCAGCCACTCTCAGCAACAACATCCCAAGCTTCTCTGCCAGTAAAGCCAAGTTTATATCAGGAAAGCGAACAAGACAAGCTCCCCCAGAAGAACCAACAGCCCCACACAATAACTCTTAGGAGAACCCACAGTGCTGCTCTCTTCCTCTCCACTTTTCCTTTTTATGCTGGCAACAGTCCTAAGTGGATCCTCTAGGCTTAGCACCACGTTGATTCAGTTCAGCTAGTGTTTAAATTGACCATCAGTTTTCAATCCACCATGCCAAGCCAAAAGCGCATTGATGATATTTGGGGGGAAAAAATACAATAAAAACCAATACAGTATCAGGGATATAGCTCAGCAGCATAAGCACCTGCCTGGCAAGCACAAGGTCCTGAGTTTGATACAAAAAAAAAAAAAAAAAAAGACAAAGTAAAAGCTAATAGAAATTAAAATCACAGTAGCTACATAATATTTATATTGCATTAAATATTATAAGAAATCCAGAGAGATTTGAAGTACAGTATACAGGAGAATGTGTGTAAGTTTTATGCAGATACAAATTCATTCCTTACACAGAAACTCAGCATCCAAGGATTCTGCTCTAGGGTAGCGATCTTAGAACCAATCTCCTGCATATGCTAAGGGACACCTGCAGATACAATTTTTGTGAATCCACATTTCAGCTATTCACATCAAATTATGTCCTTTGTTAGTAGCTTCATGTTTCAAACTGTATCATAGATTAAACACGCCTAAACTGTAAGCAAACTGCTATTCTACATACCCTTCTAGAAATTGACTCTGTATTCAAAGAAATTAAAAATCAAATTAAGAAAGACAAAACTAAATTATTCAGTAGAAATTTTCTACATATAGTTTGGCAGGTGAAAGAAAAAAGGGAAATGTGCAGAGGTTTACTATAGAAAGGCATAACTACAGAGCAAGAGTAAATTTTAAAAATTAGAACTGATGGAGAGAAGGGTAGTGGTAAACTACTATAATTACTTTAGACAACATTTTGAGGTCACCTAGTAAATTTGAGTATGTGTGTACTCTGCAATTCTGCAATTTTACTTGGAAATATTGTAACACAGAGAAATTCTTCCATGAATACATACGGTTTATGTATTAATGTTCATAGTTGTAATATCTGTAGTAGCAAGAACAAAGAACGCTGGGGAAAAACAGGAAGTGTAAATGGACCATTTCTGCTGTATTTCAAAGTACAATACAGTTATAGGAAAAAGCACTCATGTAATTGAATTATAACTAAACTAGCCATTTTTTTCTGGACTACTACTCTTTCTGGAAAGAATGAGGAACTATACCATTCAAATTTTGAGTAGAAATTCAGTGAATACAAAAATAGGAAAAATTCAAGTTTGCTTTCTTTTTTCTTTTTCTTTTTCTTCCTGTACCACAGAGTTAATACAGTAACCTGTGGATACTATCCCCAGCAAGCTTTCAAATGAAGCTTACATCCACACAGACCTAACAGCTTACTCATAATTAAAAGCCTACCTTAAGACTTATGATGATACTGATGGATGTGTTTTTTTTTTTTTTAATTGTGCAATGAAACATGTCCACATTTGGAAGACGGGAATAGCTCAGTGAGCCAGTATCTTCTGTGTGATTAATCATGTTGCTACAAAGTCACACACCAGAGAAGACCCACTCAAATGGCAAGACAGACAATGAACTTTAATGTTACAGGGTACAAAAAAACCATTGTTACAGTTTCAGGTAATACACTCTAACATTTGAGAAACTATCACTCACCAAAATTTACTATAGTGCCAAATAAAGATACAATTATCTAACCAGGCTATTAAAATGTTTGTCCACTTTCCAACTATGTATGTATGAGAATGAATTTTCTTCACCTACCTCAATAATATCACAGAAGATTGAATATAGAAACACATATGAGAAGCTGCCCTATATTAATTCAGATATTAAGGAGGTTTGCAAAAACATTACCACTATTCTTGAACTTTTGTGCTCTGCAAAATCTGTCATTTTTCACTTGAAATGTTATTTAATGGCTTAATGTTTATAATACTTCTTACATTTGTTTTAATTTCAATTACAGTAAATAACTATAGATATAAACACTCCTCTCCAGATCCCTGAAAATAAGCTCTTTGGAGTCATTAATAATTTTGAAAATATAAAGAAAATAGCTAGTCAAGGGCACAAGAAAAAATTACCCTCAATTTTAGCAGCAGCAACTTAGTATCTATTATCTTAAGATCAGCAGCTTAACTGGGTGGTTCTGCCTCAGGGACTCTCCTGAGGTTGTAATAAGCTGTTGAGCAGAGCTACAGGTCCTGAATATTGGCTGCAATTAGAGAATGTGCTTCCAAGCTCATTCATATGGCTGTTGGCAAGAGGCTTAATATTTACAGTCAATTACATTTCTCTTTTTTTCCTACTATTATTTTCTTTTCCTTCATAACTTTTCTCTTACTGTAGTTTATCAAAGTATTAGGTTTAATCAGCTCTTTGAATAAAATAGTTTAATATATCCTATTTCTTCACCACCAAAAAAGATAGAGGGGTAAAAACATCATTTATCATTTGGAGCCCCTGCTCCAAAATGCAACATTAATTACTGCTCATATATAAAGAACCAAAACAGAAAGCACTAACATTAAAACAAATTTAAGAATAACATTGGAGGTCTTCAAAATTACCCAGCTACACAACTGTGTAGTACTGACATAAAGACAGACCGACCAGCGCAGTAGAGAGCTCAGAAACAAACCTTCCCATATAACGTAGCTATGGCCTTAATAGCTTTGTCTCCCCAAAACAGGTTGAAATTGTAACCTCAACGAGATGGTATAAGGAGTGGGACTTTGAGACTTATTAGGTCACCAGGATAAGACCCTCAGGAATGAGATTAGTAGCTTCATCAAAATAAGTCTTGAGGCTGGGGACAGTAGGACAAACACTGCAGATTTGACCCCCAGTACCATCTACGTGGGTTAAACCTTAAGAATGCTAAGATTCAAAGTCAGTCACAAAAAGATAGGATGGTAAAAGCCGCAGAAAATTGTTTTTAAAAACACTTGCCAAGAGCTTGGGAAAGCGACAAATGGGCAGTTGTACAATGAGTAAATTTCAGTTTTACAAGACAAAAAGAAGTCTAGAGATTGGTTTGTACTACTATGTAAATATATTTAACAATACACACACAGCATAAGTCACCTTGTGCTAGCATACAAATAAAATATACAGAGTTGAAATGTAAGATAAATTAAATCATCTGAAATGTAAGATAAATTAAATCAATTTATCATATAATACAACTTAAAATTCTCACCTGATTTTTGTATGTTAATTCACTGACTGAACTTTTGAGCTTTTGTAGTTCCTGCACATATACAGCAACTTCCTGAGGGCCTTTGGCAAGTTCACTCCGTAGCTGGCTTATTGTGGCCTTTAAAAAAATAGAATAAAACTTAGGGCAAACTAAAAGGAAATAGAAGCAACAAAAACGTTAAGATCACATAATTTTTTGCTGTTTTTGCATTTACACTGAAATATTTGTAACTTTGAACTTTACTTTCTCCTACTACTTACTGAAATTTCACATCCTTGTCTTTAGCTTAAAATTTTTAAAATTTATCAAAAACGTAGTTTCACTTAATAACACAGAAAACATTGGTATCTTATTTTACCTGTTTGAACTAAGCATCAAACTGCAAATTTCAATTTATTGGTTTAGAAACTCTATACCTAAACCTTTGTGAATTTAAAGAGAGTAAGCAAGCAATGTCTACATTTTTTCTCAGTTTCTAATGTATACACTTTTCCTTTTAAAACATGTGGTATGGTGGTACATGCCTGTAATCCCAGCACTTGGGAGGCTGAGGCAGGAGAATTCTTGTGAGTACAAGACCGGCCTGAGCTGCAGAGTGGTAGCAAGGCCAGCCTGAACTGCACAGTGAGATCCTTGCTCAGAAAGACTACATAAATAAATAAAACAAAACAAAACATATATATGCAATCATACAGTACAATTTGATCTTGGTGAGTCACTTTTCTGAATGCAATAAAAATATATTTGTCTAAAGAAGCTATCAAAATAAAACTTCAGTTTCAGTAAGTTAGGTCACTCCATGGGTATAGTAGCTAGCCATGAATTTGCTTTACATTTTTTTCTTCTTATAAATGAAAATTAATGTTTATTATTAAAACAATTAATCATTAAAAAATATATAAGAGAAAGCCACGTAAGCAATCATCTTGGAAATACAGACTTCTATACTGCACATAAAAGCTCAACTACTGGAAAGTCTAGTTACTGCTTTTTAGGTGTGATTCCGTGAAAATGACACTAACAAAAAGCATTTCTATTTCTAATATTGCTTGCTGGATTTTTTATATCCTTGAAGTTAGTTATTTTCATTGCCTATATTTTCATTACTGAATAAACTTTATAATATGGACAAGAAATAAATTTAAGAAGCATATCAATAGATACATATTACAAATAAAGTGTTCCATCTTCAAAGAAGAAACATTTAGAAGGCAACTAATTTATTATGACAATAATCCCATTACTCAATAGATTTTTACTGCTTTTCTCATAAAAACTTTTCCAAGACTATGAATAGCTTGTTTTTTAAGATATATCTTCATCCATTTATAGTAGCTTTGGTTTTCAATTTTGGAAACCACCTAGTAAGTAAGGTAAATGAATGAAATAAATGAGCAAATAACTAGGCTTATCTTAATAACCAAAATTAATGAAACAAGTTTTTTAGTGTTTTCCAAACTGATTTAAAGTTAACAGAAATTCCAAAAGTGTTTCAGGCCCAGTACTTGGGAGGCTGAAGCAGGAGGATCACTGATAGTTCAGAACTACCCTGGCTACAAAGTGAGCTCAAGGCCAGCCTAAACTGATAGTGAGATACCATTTCAAAAAGACACACACACAAAAAAAAATGTTTTAGGAAAGGCAACATGTCTGAGAAGCGATAGCCTCACCTTCTAAGGAAACAATCATTTAAATGTATGGATTCTGGTACTATGAAAGGCAATCTATCAAATAGTTTTATAGTCACATCTTATACATAGTGTTTCAATATTATACTTATAAACATATGAAGATATTCATATAATACTTAAATCTATGTATATACTGTGGCAAACAGAATGTCCACTTCATTGGCTCTGGGGTTCACTCTGGAGACTGGTAGAGCACACCGCAGGATGTCGGGGTGAAATCAGGGGCGCGCCCCTCAGCTCCTCACCTGGCCCTTTCCCCGGCTCTGCCTGCAGGCCGCCATGAACTCAGCATCTCTGCTCCATCGTACCCTTTTACCAGGATATTTCTGCCTCAGAACCGACTGGTCATGGGTTGAATTCCCTGACACCAAAAGCCAAATTTTCACTTTAGGAAAAACTCCCAAGTAGTATCTCTGCTCCTGTCACACTGATGCTCCTCACCAGGTAACAGTGCAAACTCCCCAGAACTTCCTCCCCGGGGTCCTCACTCCCACCCGGTGCGGTGCGTACCCAAATTCTCGCCTACTTCGTTCTCCTCACTGGTATCTTGCTTGAGCTTTTCCCTGACCCTTTATATGAAACCATCTCCATTACTCCCTACTCCACTATAGCCCATATCCTGGTTCTATTTCTTCACAGCATTTATATTGCCTGGCTTCAATTCATGATTGGTTTATTTACATACTGTTACTGCCACTTAGTATGCATTAAAAAATACCTTCTAACGGGATGTGTGATTATACTTCCGAGACTAATGCATATTTACTCACAATAGTAATATATTAGATGCTACAGTTTGCATTTTCCTGATGCTAGGCTACTCAATGCACTTTTACTGAAACTTTGAAATTACAAACATAAGCAACAGTACTTCAAAACTAACATTCTGTTGGTGCTTTAGAATCACAGTTATTGTTTTAATGTCTAGAAAACAATCATTGAAAAGTGATTGAAAATTTTTTTCATTAACAAACAAAAATGAGCATGTGTTAAGTTCTGAATTTGCATTAAAACACAAAACTGCCACATGACAATAGAAGGTGGTTTACTAGGGATAATATTAATATTAATATTAAAAAGCCTTCCAAATACACATTACCTCAAATCTTAGCATCTCCGTTAGAAAGCAGAAAAAAAATAAAATGATGGATGAAAGGTGGAAGACAAGGCTGACAAAAGTATACACTGAGCACACAATAAAAACATTCAAACATACCTAGGAATTTAATCCCTTAATTACCATACTTTAAGATACTGGAATATTGTTTAAAACCTATGCATAAGTATAATCATACTTATCCCATGCCTACATAGTTTTGATATTAAAACTAGGATTCAAATACATTTACTTGGAATACAAATAAAAATTCCTTAAAATTCATCTTCATTAAAGCCCACATCAAAGATAGTTGATTAAAGTTTTGATATTTTCAATGATGCAGATTTTTAGAAATAAAATTTTAACATTTAAATCCTCAATTCCAAACACATAAGACAATTTATTAAGTACTTTTAGGATGAAAAAATACACTTCCAGCAACATAGACTAAAAAGTCAATGAATTAACAAAGTATACATCCAATGAAACTAATTAACATAAAGATGTATGTAATAATGTACCTCAGGTTATACATCTTCAGCCCCAACTAGAAATAGCAATCAAATAAATTCTCTCATCTTTAGCTTCCTTAATCCCTTTTACTATGTTTTGCTTCTGATACCAATATTTAGATTCAGTAAATGTAACATCTATAATAAATTTTTTTCTAGTAGGCTGTCTAACTGGGAAATTTACCAACACACTTAGCTGAAAATAAGTAGAAGTAAATTTCAATAAACTAACAAAATCCCTAACAATCAGGGAAAGTAGGAGCTAAAAAACAAATGGAATTATGAACAAACAAGTGAGATAAAGGAATTAGAAATTTTTTCATATGGGAATAAGTGTAAGACACAACTCAAAAATATTTAAAGCTATTAAAAAGATACAAATATTACAACATTTAATTTGGCAAAATAAAAAATAGTTAAGTATGAGAAAAAGATTAACAGTGCAATCAATTTACTTATAAAGCAATCACCAGGCCATCTAAAATAAAAAAGCAACATGCTGCAGAGAAAGGCATATGGGTTTTGGATAAGACCTGGGTTAAAATACTAGCTTCTTTAAAAAAAAAAAATTAACTTCTTGGGGAAAAAAAAGTACTAGTTTCTTAACGTAAGTACATTACCTTGAACAAGTTACTTAAATCTCACTTGGCCTCAGATCTCTCGTATGTAAAACAGAATACTTAACTTATAGGATATAAGAAAAAATTAAAATCACATACTTAAAGTGTCTAGCATAGTATCCCTAGTTTTCCTCCAAAAAGTTTTTTCTAATAGCAGTAAACTGCTGTTTCTTAAACTTATTAAAAATATTTTAACACCACCTAGTCACTGTATATCTACTGATTAAGTAGAGAATAAATGTTATTCTTATTTCATTAAAATATAGTGAAATATTAAATTACCTATTCAATTAACAATATGTTTTTAAGTGTATTTCAAAATACTTGAAAATTTTTATGAAAACTTGAGTGATACTGACATGTAAAACCAAGATTTCTAAGTCATTTTCCTTCCTTTCCAGAAACATCTTTTCTGGGAGGAAATAAAGTAATCTCCTATACTGAGCTCTGCTTACAGGAGAACAATGGAAGTAGACAATAAATTCTTTTACCCCCAATATTGTATCACTCTAGTCATAACTTTTTCACATTAAATTATCTTCTTTTACATTACATTACAGATATTATAATTTAAATGAACAAAACCATAAGTTTATAAAATCTTCTAAGTTAAAACTACAGTAATTTGACTGGGTGTTTTAGAGATAGTCTCCCTCTAATTCAGGCTGGCCTGGAGCTCAGGGATCCTGCTGGCTCAGCCTTGAGTGCTGCGCTTGTAAGGGTGAATCAGCCCTAGCTTAACTATGTGATTGTTAAACAATATCAAATTATGTTCTCATTACCAAGCTATATTATGGTGCTGCACATATTTTTCACATGCAAGTTAAAATGTAAATTCCTTTTCCTTCTTAACATGTTTAACAAGTATGTGTATGTCTCAATAACTCATCTGAAGAAGGTCGGAGAGAGCTACACTTTAAGACAGTAGATACATTCTAGCCAGACATGGAGGGCTTGCCTATGACCACAGCACTCTAGGGGGCTGAGGCAAACCAATGGAAAGTCAAAGCCCAGTCTAGGCAACCTAAAAATAGAAAAGGCTGTAGATGTAGCTCAATACCAAGACCCTCAACTGTTTTTTTTTTTTTTTTTTTTTTTTTTGGTAAGACCACCAGTATGTTGATTCAACTTTAGTCACCATATTATTTTTATTTTTAATTTCAAATAACATTTAAAGGAACTTTCAAATCAAAACTTTTTTAAATCTGAGAAATACCAGTAGGCTAGCAGATCTAATCAAAAGTAATTCTTGTAACTAATAACTAGTAGAAATAAATAACTGGATTCATCCAGGTTAAACACCATCTATATGGCACTTATCTTCATCAGACTTCCTTTCTTCAGATCCTGACAATACATTCATAACTAGTGATACCACTAGAACTTTTAATTAACTTTGATAAGTTCATGAATCTCTCAAAATTATTTGAAAAACTGTGGAAGTATGTGTTATTAGACTATTAAGTGTAACATTTCCTCATGACAAGACATTGGAGAGCTGGGTTTGATAGCACAAACCTCTAATCCCAGCACTTAGCAGGCCGGGGCGAGAGGAGCACCCTGAGTTCAGGGCCAATCTGTACTGCATAGTGAGACCCAGTTTCAAAAAAAAAAGACATTGGGAAAATAATAAAGAATGAAATGGCTTCATGTGGTGGTACATGCCTGTACTCCTGGCATTCTGGGAGTTGAGGCAAGAGGATCACAAGTTTGAGCACAAGCTGGCCAACATAGCAAGCCTGTTTCAAAAATAAAAAACAAACCCGACATGGCGATGCACACCTGTAATCCGAGTACTTCGGAGACTGAGTCAGGAGAATCGCCACAAGTTTGAAGACAGCCTCGGCTGTATAGTAAGCCTGAACTATACAACAAGACCATATCTCAAAATAAATAAATAAAAGAAATCAAAATAAAATAAAAGGCTGATAAGGCAGCACAGTGAGAAGGCCTGATTTTAATCCTCAACACCCTTCAATTAAAATGTTATAGAGTATTTTTATGGATAATTTGCTCATTTATTAGTATCTATGACTAGAATACTTTTTATATCAGCCGCTAAAAATCTTTAAATCAGAAAAACAAATTGAATTGTCACCAAAATAAGAAAATATGAAACACAGATCCACTTCCCATAACAGTTATAGACTACAAATAATAGTCATAACAAAATATATTCTATAATGTAGCAAGAAAAGACAAAAGCCAGCAATTTAAGCAATACATTTATTACATATTTTAAACTTTGTCATATATTGACATAATTATACATATAAAGAATTTACAAGCCAAAGTAATAGGCCTGAGATTGTTTGCTTTTTAGGAAAATATGAACAGTCATCAAATAGCTCCGGTGGAAAGTAATAATTTATTCTTTGTAACTTTTGAGAAAACTAGAAGGCATGTGATTTACAGGGAAATGTGTTAATTCAATAGAATAACTGACTTCAAAAGAAATACACGCAAGCTATATCCTTTAGCAAGAAATGTGGGTCACATCAGGGTTGCTATAAAGAGGAGTCTTGGATGGGGTGCTACACTGGATCACTTTAAGATTTTTTTAAAAGTAAAAAAAAAAGATTTCTTTAAACTACATAATTCAGTGCCTATCAATTAGAAATAAGCTCATTAGAAAAAAAATATTTCCTAAATATTTTACTAGTAACATTGTAGAAAATAATACCATTCTTCCTTTACTCTTGAGATAAACTCAATTGCCATTTATCAACTACCCTTGAATAAATTTAACTTTACATCTCTCCATGTTGACTGCCAAAAGTTTAAGGAAACCCTAGACTACATAGTGAGTTCAAGGCCTGATTGAACTGCATAGCAAAACCATGTCTCAAAAACATATAAAATAAAACAAAATAAAATAAAATAAAATAAAATAAAATAAAATGTCTCCACATACATATCATTTATTAAACCACTTATTATGCAAGCTTTCCAAGTATCCTATTTTATAAAGCAAAAGTAAATACTGTCAGACCACAATGACTATGAACAATGACTCAGATCATTAAAACAAAGACAAAGGGAGGGCAGTAAAAAGAACAAAGATCCAACAGGTACACGTACAACTCCCTACAACGAATGTGTTCATTATATGTTGTAAACATAGCAACAAAAAAAAGGCGCTAAGATAATTTCTGAATCTTGGCTTTACTCAATAATAAGGTACTACCGATCACAGTTCATTACCTCTGAGTTAGCATGTTCGGCTTGTAACTTTTTGCACTCATCTTTGAGTTTTTCAGATTCTCTCTCACGCTCCAAGGTCATATTATCCATTAGTGTCTGAACTTGGACCAGTTCTTTCTTCAGCACAGCAACATCTTCTATCCCAGGTCTCTGAAGCTGTGAAGCCACACATTTCAATTAAACACTACAGTGGAAAACCAAATGGAGGAAGGGATGGAAAGGACAGATGGTGCACTGGAATTTGTGGCAAGCTGCATGTACTTGATTCGTGTATTCATATATTCACTGAGTACTGAACAAAGGAAAGAAACTCAAGGACAGATCAGAGGCTTGTGAGCCTGGGGAGAGTGCTGAAGCACGGTAGAAGCACAAAAGATAGAAATTCACCTGGAAGCAGGTGGATTCATAGAACAAAAGTGCAAGGAACGTCAGGATCCACAGGGTATGTGGAAAATACTCAGAAAGACGAATTTAGACAGAAACAACTAAGTTGTCAAGGTAGTGTTATGTATCATACTCCACTTTTATAAAAGATCTCATGTAGTATGTATGTGTAGGTGACATCGTACAGGGAACTTTCTACTTCCTCCTGTTTACTCTATTTTAACATTTATTCAAAGTATGTATTCCCTCTTAATTTAAAATGGTATAAAAGTAATTCCAGTAAATGGTTGCTAAATTACCAGTTCAGTCTTCAAATCCTGAATTACAGTTGCTGTTTTGTTTAATTCATCTGTTAAATGTGTCACTTTTTGTTCAGCAGCTTCCCGAAGGCTCCTTTCTTCATCATATTTTGACTTTACATCTAATTAAAGATAGTTATATAAATACTTGCTTCGTGAAATTAACTATAAGGAAAGAAAGTTTCATAAATTCTTGTATATTATTCTGCATATCCATTCTTCCCTCTAATTCACATTCCTCAAATAACTATAGATATACACAATAAAATTATACTTCTGATTAGATCATATGAACCTTAATTACATTTTTGTCACCATAAATTCTACTCACTAAGAAGGAGAGGGAAAGAAAGAGAAATGGGAAGGGAAGGAATAATAAGAATTAAGATGTGTTATGTACCAACTCCTCATGATGAATGCAATCATTATGCACTACCAACACACTAATAGAGATTTTAAAACTTAAATTCCACCCAACACTAAGCATCTAATGAGCATTTCAATGTACAATTGATCACACACAATATTTTACCTAAAAGAAAACAGTTTTTAAAAACACAACATGAGCTGGGCATGGTAGCACATGCCTGTAATCCCAGCACTCACGAGACTGAGCTAGGAGGATCACCATGTGTTTGAGCCCAGCTGGGGCTATATAGGGAGTTTAAGGCCAGTCTGAACTATATAGCAAGACCTTGTCTTTAAAAAAATAAATAATAAATGAATACGGTATCACTGTGGGCGAGCCTACAATCCTAGCACTCGGTAGACTGAGATAGGAAGACTGCTGCAAATTTGAGGCTAATCAGGGCTATGCAGTGAGTTCAAGGCCAGCCTGAACTATGTAGTGAGACTGCATCTCAAAAAGAAAAAAAAATGCAGTACATGTAATTGAAATCATAACCAAATGTTAAATCTCTACTATATTACATAATTAATTTATTTAACATGTTATTTTTTAATCCTTAAGCATACCATAAAAGAAAATTATCTTTTAAAATTTTAAAAAGACTCTACAGAGGAAAAAAACAATGCTTTGAAAAGAAGTAAAAGGAGAAAAAATAATTTATGAAGCTTCTAAATCATTAAATTCCCTTAATCATCACCACAGTCTATAATACCTTACTAGACTGAAATACTAGATTTTTTACCCCAAGGATAATTACTGATAAAAATATCACAAGACTGATTTATTGGCTAAAAATTATGATTCAGTTTACCTGCAATTTCAGTAGCAAGTTGGGCTGCTTTCTGTTCAAATAAATCTTTCATTTGCTTAATATTAAAATTTTCTGTCTGAGCTTCCTCTAACTGTTGTTCCAAAGACTGCAGTTCTACAAAACAAAACAAAAAAAAAAAATTGCAGCAGTTATTTAAATACAATGTCAAAGTCATAGACTCAATTGTTATTACGTATAATCATTGTAGCAGTAAAAACAATCCACATGAGTCCATTATCCAACTACAAATATACTACTTTCACATTTCAAAAGTTAAGCACATCTTGGCCAGGTGGCACAAACCTAAAATCCCAGCACTTGGGAGGCTGAGGCAAGAGGATTGCCTCAAGTTCAATCTGGGCTACACTCAAGGCCAACCTGAACTGCACAGCAGCACCTTGTCTCAAAAAAAAAAAAAAAAACAGAGAGAGAGAACTAAGCATATGTTATGCATTTAAGGCACAAATCATTATTTATAAATATAAATTAACATTTTAAGTAACTCCAAATAACTATTTTTAAAAGTTATTCTAACTTCATATTTCATGGTTATTTTCCTATATCTATCAAATAACCAAAAAGAAATATATTCTGCTCTTTATTCTCTTTTTAAAAAGAGATTCCTTAGGCAGGAATGGTAGTGCATGCTGTATCACAGCACTCTGGAGGCTGAGACAGGAGGACTGCTGTGAGTTCAAGACCAGCCTGGGCTACATAAGCAAATTAAAGGCCACCCTGTACCACATAGCGAGACCCTGGCTCAAAATTTAAATAAATAAAAAAGAGATTTCTTAAATGTAACAGCTAATCTCAAAATACAATTTTGATTATTCATTGTGCCTTTCTTACACAGTTATGCAGATGCTAGTAAATTCCATCAACTTATTTCAAAGGATAAAGACTATATAATTCATTAATATGGAATTAAATTTTCATTAAACAATCATATATATAGTTCAGTTCTAACTTCAGAATACAAAGAACCAAAACAAAAAGCCCAAGATTTTAGTTAACTAATGGAATTATGATGTGCACAGGTAATTTTCTAATTCTAGAATATGACCATCATTACTGTTTTAGAGTCATAAAGTAAAACTACAAACAAAATTCCTTTAACAGGCATCAAAGAAAATCTAGTATGAAAAATAAGACAAAAATGAAAAAGAACATGTTTTAAATTACCTGCTGATGAGTCAGCCACCAATCCATCAGGTTTAGCTTCCTAAATAAAGAAAAAAAGATACAAACAAATAAAGGAAGATGACAATACCATACAGTTGCCAACCTTAAAGTCTGAATGTCAGGCTCTGAAAATTTAAGCTTTGAAAGAATCAGATCAGCTGGGTATCGTAGCACACTTCTGCAATCCCATCACTTGGGAGGCTGAGGCAGGAGGATCCTGCAAATTTGAGACCAACCTGACAGCCAGCCTAAACTGCATAGTGAGATCCTGTCTCAAAAAAAAAAAAAAAAAAAGTTAGATCAAGTAGCAAAATTTTGGTGGAAATTAAAGTTTGGTATTTATTTTTCTGGATCCTAAAGTGCCACTAGGCAGATGAAATGATGATTTAAATGCAGTTTACCAGTCAGTACTAAAGAAGAGTATTTTTATATTAATGCACATAAAACTCTTTATTATGGATCTTACAGTAGATGGCATCCTAAATCCCGTAGTGCCATAATGAGTAGCAGAATGTCCCTTCCCCTTAAGAATGTGACATCAAACCTTATCATGCCCCATATGTGAGCCACTGATCACAGCTAATGACTTCAAACTGAGTTTGACAGCCACTGCGACTTGAGCCAAAGCCAACAGCGGTCAGTGTGTTGATGCTTCTGGGAAATTCACAACTCCAGCAAGGACAGGGCCAAACCCTGCTAGCCTCTAAACTTCAAGTCTCATCCACCACTGTCTGCACACTCTCCAGGGACAAGGGTTCCTAATGTCACAGCTCTTCAGGGTCGGAAAGTGCCAGTCTGTAAAGGTTCACCTCAGACCTTAATAATCAAGCTCCGTCTTCTTCCCCCAGAGCCTGCTTCCACCAGAAATCAGCAATTAGACTTGAATGGTGTCTGAGCTTGGTCACTGTGTGGTTAATGTACCTCGTGTAGTGCATTCCCTATGAGATTTGTCATGTTACCCAGTAGCTCTTTAGGCACTGTGAGCCTAAGAAAAATTTCTCTGTCAGACAATGAACCATCTAATTTGTGAAATCAGGCCTTCATCATTCCAATATTGTAACTGTATCAAGTACCTATAATATTGAAAATTAGCATAAGCAAAAACATGCCACTGAACTATTACCATGTCAAAAAAATAAAAAGGCTTTCAGGATGGAGGCGTAACTCAGTGGTGCTATAGAATATGTCTATAGTCTTAGCACTTGGACAGGAGAGGAAAGAGGATGCAAGTGAGTGCCAGGCCAGCTGGGTTACACAGTGAGATACTGTCACAAAACACAACAGATTAAAAGGTTACAAAGAGAAAAAGGTAAGAGTAACTCCTGATTCACCCAGAGCAATTTCCAATGCTGTGAGCTCCATTTATGGCAGTGCCCTCTATATATGCACCACTGTTTATCTTTCATATTGTATTTTTACTGTACCTTTTCTTTGTTCACACACACCAACACCAGCAACCTCCAGCTCTTAGTAGAGTAACGCAATGCAGAGGTGTGCACCCATAAGCAACGGGCTATGCCAGAAAGCCTGGGTGTCCAGGAGGCTATACCACCTAGGGTTATGTAACTAAAATTTATAATGTTTGCACAATAATAAAATTCCCTAACAACAGATTTTTTACAATGTACTCCCATACTAAGAGACACAGGACTATATGTGTATACATGTGGTATACATTTTTAATTCAACTCTTTAGAAACCTAATATTAGCAATAGAACAGTTTTCCCATATTTTCAGATATTCTTCACTAATATAAACTGTTAACATTTCTTTCCCTACCAATATATGTTAGTTCCAATTCACAAACAAATTATTTGTTTTGAAGGCATTCACTATTATTTGAATCTATATTTTTTAACCATTTATGTATACTGCCAGAAAAATAGCATAACACAAGTCTGTATTTTAAAAAATGGGTAGATGAATCTTTTTTTTTTTGTCTTTTTCCTTTTTATCGGTACAAGGGATCGAACTCACAACTGCCTGCTTGTGAGGCAGGCGCTTATGCCGCTGAGCTAAATCCCCAGCCCAGTAGATGATTCCTAATGGAATATCTTTCAAAAGTTACATCTTTCTTTCAGTATGACTGTTTCCATTCATTAGAACTACAAAGAATTTACAAGGAAACAAGTTAGCAAACTATTTGTAACAGGCTAGTTACAGTCATAAAGGTATCATACTTAATTTTCAGCCATAAAAATAAACAACTAATACACATGCATCAAGTATGTAAAAAGCAGTTACTTGCTGTTGCAGCCCTTGATATTTTTCTAATTCTTTCTTTAATTCTTCTGAGTACCATTTTTCTTCCTAATGAAAAAAGTTTTAATTAGTAAACTGTAAAAGACACTTTATGTGTAACACTGAAAATAAATAAGTACAATCAATTTTATTCTTACCTTAAGTGAAGCCTGTAGGTCTTGGACTTCTTGGCGGAGTAGTGTTACATCATCTCTAAACATGGATGAGGAGGAATAACAGTTAATGCCCTTGAATTCTCTACCATGTCTCTTAATAAATAATATTAAAACATTCCTAAAGATTTCCTGTATAGTCAGATAGATAGATAGATAGATAGATAGATAAATAGACAGATCTTAAAAATAATTCTATTCCTAAAGCTCATGATTTGTAAATAACATTTTCTCATGGAAATAATCAAATAACTGAATGTCAAGTAAGTACCTGAAACAAAATGTCTTCTAATAATTTACTAATAGTAAGTATCAATGGCTTCTTGCTGAAGTTACCTTCTGGAGTTTTTTGGGGCTTTTTGGTACCGGGGATCAAACTCATGACCTCATGCTTGCCAGGCAGGCACTTATGCCACTGAGCTAAATCCTAGCCCTTCCTGATGCGGTTAACATCAAATCTAAACTCATCACCAAGGACTCCAACATCTGTACAACCCATCTGGTTTCTATCTTACAACTCTTTCTCCTCATTCACGCAGCTTTAGCAACACTGGCTTGTTCCTATTCTGAAATGACATGCTCTGTCCTGATGGAGAATCTTCTCCTATTCTGTTCCCCTTATCTAGGACTCCAGAGTGACCAAAAAAAAAAAAAAAAAAAAAAAAAAAAAGTTAAGTAGACCATGCAAGGTTTGAATGTAGGAGAGAAACTTCAGGAAAAAAACATTTAGGATTATCATTCTGCATGTCAAAAGCATCTTCCCTGCTGGATTAAAACATGGCCTCCCCTTGCTCCATGTCACTACCAATGGCAGACATGACAGAAGATACAAGATACATGACAAGAAGATGCAAGGCATGGTGGGACACACCTGCAACCCCAGCCTGTGGGAGGCTGAAGCAACAGGAATGCAGGTTCTAGGCCAGACTTGGGTAATTTAGTGAGAGCCTGTCTCAAAAAGCAAAAATACCCCTGAATAACAGGCTTTGAAATTTTATTGTAGTTTTTTTTCTTCTATTTTCTTTCTTTTTAATGTTTGAATAAAGTGGATTTGAAGAAAAAAAATCTAGAGACACATGCCGCTCAGTGGCAGAGCTCCTGTCCACCCATGCAGAGCTGGGTTGTATCCCCAATAGTGAGAAAAAGAAAAAAATCAACAAAAGATATATAGAGATATATAGATAAACATTTCTATATTGTCTATCAACTACGAGGTTAATATAGGCATAACACTTTTACTTAATAATTTTTTATGCTACAGCAGATATATCAACTGAGAATTGTTTTTTTTTAAAGCATGAAAAAAATTTTAAGTAGAACAAAATAAAAATTTATTCCTTAGTGGAAATAAAAAATTAATGTTTTCACCAACAGCAGAAGAAAGCCAAAATTACATTTTTGAAGTCTGCTCTAAGTAGCTGCATATTTTAGCTTAATTTTAGCTTTAAAAGTGTTCAAAGCTGGACGTGGTGGTGCACGCTTCTAATCCCAGCACTCAGGAGGCTGAGGCAGGATGACATCCATGAGTCCTAGGCCAGCTGGGGTACATGGTGAGTTCTAGCTAGTTTAAATTACAGAGCATGACCCTGTCTCTCTCTTTCAATCAGTCAATCAATCAATTCATCAAACTAAATTACCAGGAATGTGGTCAATTTAAATTACCAGGAAGCACAATATGTGTGCTCATTATTCTGGCGATTATGAGTTTTTAAATTTAAATTAAATTTTAATTTCTGACTAAACTTATTATTTGAACAACTTACTATAAAATTATGCTCTTTACATAATTTTATAGCTTAAATACAACCTATGTACCATGTTGTAGATGAGACAGTTGCTGATCACTGACTGGTAATGATAAGGGAAAAACGCTAGCTAAATTAATTCTGATGAAGTAAGATTTGCACTGATACTATTTTCAGGAACAAGTCATGACTAAACAATGGTGTCATGTGCACACCCACAACAGTATCGCCCTTGGAAACCATCATGCTATACCGCTTCAAAGCAAGCTCAGCCTCTCCATGACTTGAATCACTGCCAGCATCATGGACAGCCTGGTAGTGTTTGAAAAGCTCATCAGCAGATCCAAGAGATTTCATACACTGGGGACATATGAAGCCCTGCAGAAAGAGAAGAAAACCATTCCAAGATATGATTTAAGGTTGCAAAATAACACTTCACATATTATGAAATACAATCAACTGTCTTATTCACATCAATGGTGCCACTGAGTTGCTTCTAATTTATAGTGGCAAGCCCCAATTATAGTACTGTCTGCCTATTCTGGCTGAAGTTTACAAAATGTAAATATAACCCCTGCAACAATTTTTTAGGTGGAATAACTAAATGAGTAGAATATTAAACACTGAGTCTACTAGATCTAGTCTGTAAGTTAATTGACAAGATTTTCCATCATAATCTTCTTCTCTCTAGATATCTCCAGTAGCAAAATAATATCTGCTCCAATCTACTGCATAGGAATGCTACGAAAAAAACTTAAGACAAAATCTGATCACTGAGGAAAAAAGTAACATATATCATTCTTTATCAGCAGACAGTTTAAATAACTATAATGGTAAAGAAGTATACTTAGGGCCTGGGGATTTAGCTCAGCGGCATAAGCACCTGCCTGACAAGCGCTAGGTCGTGAGTTCAATCCCCGCTACCGCCAAAAAAAAAAAAAAAAGAAGAAGTATACTTAGTAAATTTCCTTGCTAAGGTTAACACAGTAAAAGCCTAAAATTAATATATAGTCCCCTATAACATAAAATCTTCTAATTTATTCTACAGTTATTATGTGGTTAAAACTGGCAACTACACTACTATGCAATGAAATGCTGATACAGTATCATGCTTTACAAATTAGAATTGCAACTCATTAAAGAATCACAAAAATAATTTTTAGTGGCAATTTTTTAGTTATACAATAGAACATAATAGAGTTTATCTTATGTAGCAGGATAAATAATATTGTATTAACTTTAAGTGATAACCAAAAACATTACAGTAACTGCTATCAAAAATACTTGAGAAGAGCTCACAGTCTGAGAGATGCAGTACAGAAGGGTAATAATCATTTCTTTTTATTGAATCTATACTACATGACAGGTACTTTCCCTATACAATCTCATTTAAATCAGCCCATTTATTATTAGGTAAGTACTATATTTTATAGAAGAGGAAATTAAACCTCAGAAAAGTTAAATACTTTTCAAAGCCACAAGCATAACTAAACCACAATATAGGCAGGTTTGTTGGGACAAATCACATGATCTTTCCAGAATGCTACACTGTTCCTTGAATTCACTGGCTTAGCCTTCAAAAATGACTTCCTTAAATTAAATCTTTTTATCTGCTAAGGTTTTAGTAATTATTTGACAAATAATTATCATTTCAAGTGTAAAAATAGTTATATGAAAAACATAAAATATTAAATACAGTCTCCTTCAAAGAATGGAGAAAACAGAATATATACATACTAAAAATATTTTTGTGAAACTGAATTAATGGTTATCCTCATAGCACTAAAGTTTACATTGCATGGGTATGAGACTACAAACTAAATAAGCAATTTTTTGTCCTATAGAAAATTAGTCTACTTCTATATCCTTCAAGTAGTAGTAATACTCAAAACATTATATACTATTTTAATATAATTTACCTAATACATAAAAGAAATGTTTCTCTAAATTTTTCTTTAAATTACTTATAGTCAAAACTTTTTATGGACAATAAAAAAGTTCACCAAATTTTGAATATGTACAAACATTGTACAGGAAAGGGCTTTGGAGGAGGCTTATTCCAAACTTTGCTTTTAAAAATACTACCAAAAAAGAATTAAGATATATTATGTACAGGTACAAATTCCCTATGACAAATGCAATCAATATATTTGACAAATATATAACAATTAAAATGTAAATTAAAAAAACTGAGAAGAGCTGGGTGTTGTGGCACACACATGCAATGCTAGCACTTGGGAGCTGAGACAGGAGTTTGAGGACAGCCTGGGCTACAAAGTGAGTTCAAGGACAGCCTGAACTTCATAGGGAGACCCTGTCTCAAAAAGAAAAATTAATAAAATAAAATAAAATAAAACGGAAAGTGAAAAACATACAAAAAATATTACCAGATGCTAATTATGAGAACAGCTCCAGCCCCTACTAGCCTATCTTTCATGCTAACCCACAAGAATATTCTTACACAATCTATTCTGCAGAAACACATCATATGCTTAAGAACATTTAAATTAATGTATTACATCAACAATAACAATACAGTTGGTGGACTGGAAATGTAGTTCAGTGCAAGAGTGCTTGCCTAGAAGGTACAGGGCCCTCAATTCAATCCTTAGTCCTATACCCCCTCAAAAGAAAAAGTTATTACTAAAACTCTGATGAAGTCATTAAAGATGGCTCTTCAACTAATTCAAAGTAACAAGAAATAAATTTGTTTTGCTTTTATCAAGTACATGACCATTCAATTCTAAAATGTACTTTTTTACAGATACAAAGATAAAAAACGGAATGTGAAAGTGGCGTTTGAATGTCTTTCTACATGAAAGCAACAAGAAAACACATTATAATTTTGAAGGACCCATGGAAAGTTTTATGAAACAATATATATAGAAATGCTCATCTCCTCATCCTATTAAAAATTCCTTTAAAGACCACTTTTGCCCAAGATTCCATATTGACCTCCTCTTCTGACTCAACGTCCCCCAACAGAGGAAGCAAGTGGTCTCCACAGTGCTTTGCACACTACTAGCTGCCAAACTTGTAAACTTGTAACAAAACTCTCTCCAGGACTCTTCTGCATCTCTACATCTCCACCTGCATCATACCGGCATTTTAAACACTATAAACTCAAGACTCAATTTATTTTCCAAACTTCTTTTCCCCTTCACCATCCTTCTTTCAGCCAAACTAGAATCTTAAAAATCATGCTGAACTACTCATCCTTTTGTTTTATTTTTAACCTTAATTATTCTCCCTTTTCACTTATTAATTTCCTCCTCAGTGCAGCTGGCCTTGTTTAGACGTGAATATCTCTTGCCCAGGCCTCTACCACAGCATTCCACATTGCACACCGATGCACAGCCTCCTTTCTCCCTTAGGAACCTTCCACACAGCCGCCAGAGGAGCCTTTTATCATCGAGTCATACAGGTTCCTGCATGAGCATTCGCCTATGACTTGTGCAGTCTGATGCCTGGACACTGCCCATACGCAGCATGCTCTGACAATACCCAAGTACCTGTGCTGCCCAGAACACACCACAGCATCTCAAATTCCTGTGCCTTTGCACATAATGCTTGTGTTTTGTCCCCAGCACCCACATTACCTGGTCAAGTTCCTTCATTCTAACAACAATACATTGTATCTTTTCCTCTCCATTTCCTAGCAGAGGAGGTGATGCCTTCAGCACATGATTTTCTACACTGTGGATTTTTACTAAAATATGAATGAAACTGACACTGCAGAGGTTGGTGAAAAAGTAGATCTTTAACAGCTTACAGATTATAAAACCTTCCAAGAACAAAATGAGTCAACCAATAAGTACACTGAGCCTCTACAAATAAGTAAAACTCTGTTCCTTCACTAGGTACTCACTGATTACTGGGAATAACAATAGGAGCACATACATATTACCAGATGATGCTAAGTGTAAGTAGATACAAAGAACATGTGGCGATGAGTTATTGCACTCTGCCTGTGTCAGCAGTTAATGTCTTACAAAAATTACACATACACATATGTATATTTTATGTGTCTCATCCATATGACTGTTGCTACACACTGTATATAAATGTATGTGCATGTGCACTCTGGAATTAGGTACTTAACAATGAGTAGGACTGGACCTGCCATTCTAAACCAGATATCTCAAGACTATAATCTCAGCACTTGGGAGGCTGAGGCAAGGAGAATGGCCAGGAATTCCAGGCAAGTCTGGGCTAAACAGTGAGTTCAAGACCATCTTGAACAACATATTGAAAGACTCTGTCTCAAAAAACCCCAATAAATAATAAATAAATAAATTAAAATAAAAAGTAAAAAAGAAAAGCATTCTAAATAAAAGTAAAAGCATTAATAAAGGTGGAGGAAGTGAAAATAATCATGCCCATGGGTGAAACAAAGATCTTAGGAACCAGAGGGCAGGGAAGGGGCACAGCAGGTAAATAACGCAACAATCCCCTATGAAACTACTAAACTGAGCAAAACAAGATTAGGGATGTGCCTTTGGACACTAGAATAATGCCAGCAGACTCCAGAGGTACCAGTTGATCCGCACTGTCTTCTGGATGAATGAATGTTCTACCTTGTATGTCATCTAGCCAGTGGTGTGCCTTCTTCAGAACCACTGCTGTTTATTATCATAATGGTTCTATGTTATGCTTAACGTGGCGTTTTCATCATCTCTGCCTGGTAACTGTTGCACAACACTGGCTGATGTGCTTCTAATGGAACAGCACATGAACATCTGCATTTAACCCTTCATTCCTCTTTTGTGTCTCAACTTCTGCTACAACTAGAAAGTAAATTCCACTATCCCTCAGAAAATCTACATCCCTATTATATTACAACTTGCTTTTTAACTGTTGTCTCTATTTCTTGAGTTTTGGCACTACTTAAAAAGCTAACGATCAGCTATGCCATACCTTTTTAAAACAGCTAAATATTACCAGGTTAATAGCTCAAAAAGAACTGATCTATTCCTAAAGAGAAATTTCAGAAATCAGTAATATAGGTTCATTATAGAAATATTACTTAGAATTTGCATGTTTAAATAAAACTTAAATTTGGAGTATTTCTGATAAAAATAATTTTTGTAAGATACATATACTTCCTTACCTCCTTAAATCAGTAATATTAAATCTCTGCTTGAAGTCTCCGAAACATAAATATTAATCATTGAATAAGCATTTTCCACTCTATGAATTCTGGCCAGACTCTTCATTCCTGTACCTATATTTTATGGTTTTTCCTGTACCTTATTTTGCATTTCAATAATCATTTCTAAAGATTGCTACTATTCTATTTCTAGGAATGCTGGCCTGCTATAGATGGGAAGGGCAGATTAAGAAGAAAAAAATTTATTAAGACTATAACATTCACTTTA